CCTCATGGCACCATACAGGTATGAATAATACATTACTTACAACTCCGGCTATAACAAAACACTGGCTATACCGAACACACCTGTAATCCCCGAGCAGTGGTGCAAACTGTTCAGTTCGATGAATGAAAAGGAACCGGTCTGATTTATTTGGGTAGAGTTCGTAATATTAGGGGTGTTGTGAATACAGGTATACACGCGTCTGTACTTGGCCTTATGGCGTCCTTAAGCTCACGTATTCGTGTAATTAAGAAGAAAGCTTTTCTAAACTGATTTTCTATTTTCATGTATAATAACTGCGATTGTCCATGAAAAGGATAACAACAATTCGTAGCCAGCTCTAATATTTCTCATGAAAAATATCCTCGCTGAATTGAAGTCGGTGTAATCCCATACTGCAACATATGGCTGCTGCAGTTGAGTCGAGACACCGTAAGCGCAATGGCTTCTCTCCTTTGATCCGGAGCCTCGCAAGTACAGAGGAGCATTGGCTTATGTCGGTGTTCTCGTTGACATTGCACCGTCACAGTGTGCCTGAATACCTCTCGTCATGTCTGTATGTATAGCACAACTAGAATAACACACTGGCATAAAGCGTCGACCAATCTAGTGTGGAGACCCGCCCCGAGTTAACATCAAATGAAATAGTAGTCACTTATGTGCTCTCTTGGCTTAAGCTTCTGTTAAATGTCGTGGGAACGACTCCACTATATCAATGTTTACACGTGCATCGCATGTAGAGATATATCAAGGTAGATCGGATTGTTCTATGAACACACACACCAGGAAGTTCTACCGCTGGAGCAAGAACAGGAAAAGGCTTGATATTGTATTCATGCACAGAATCAAAGAGCTCTTCTCTTATCCCCCTACAAGAACACGCCACAGACAGACCCGTAGGCATGTATCGGAAGTGCTCTACTCTCTTCCTGCAGGTTTTCCTTTAATTACTGAGAGTCGCTGCACAGACCGCGGTATACCGGCATAGAGCATTTCACATGTATTTAATGTGTTCTGTTTGACAGTAAAATCCTCCTTGAGAAAACCTGTATCTACTCAAGATGCAATGCCGTCTGTGGCGGGTCAACCAAACCGATGTGTATGACAGAATAGGGCGCTATGCTACATTGTAAGGTGAGACACGATGGTGGGGAGTGAGGTGGGTTTGAACAACCATGTTACAATATTCTAACCATATCTCGAGTCCCGCTTTCCACCGGACTGTAACGTAAAATAACGATACGACGCTGTACCTGATTGTAACCACACTGACTGAATATTGTCACACGACGCTGTTGGTGGATATCACCACACGACACTGTAACTTCAACTTAATAGCACCCGATTGTGTAACTGTACCTGATTATTACATCTGCAACTGAAGAATAGCACACGATCCCAAAACTGTAACTGAATAGCACACGATTCTAAAACTGTAACTGAATAGCACACGATTCTAAAATGTAACTGAATAGCACACGATTCTAAAACTGTAACTGAATAGCACACGATTCTAAAACTGTAACTGAATAGCACACGATTCTAAAACTGTAACTGAATAGCACACGATTCTAAAACTGTAACTGAATAGCACACGATTCTAAAACTGTAACTGAATAGCACACGATTCTAAAACTGCAACTGAATAGCACACGATTCTAAAACTGTAACTGGACAGCACACGATTCTGAAACTGTGACTGAATAGCACACGATTCTAAAACTGTAACTGAATAGCACACGATTCTAAAACTGTAACTGAATAGCACACGATTCTGAAACTGTAACTGAATAGCACACGATTCTAAAACTGTAACTGAATAGCACACGATCCTAAAACTGTAACTGAATAGCACACGATTCTAAAACTGTAACTGAATAGCACACGATTCTAAAACTGTAACTGAATAGCACACGATTCTGAAACCGTAACTGAATATTACAACTGAAACTGATATCGTGATACTGTAACTGAACATTGTCAGTTACTTCAACCTGACCATTCCGCTGATGTTGTAGGGACAGCGCGACAGCACTACACAAGAGCATATCTGTACATGGTGCTGTGTAACAACTGACAGCAATATACCCACGTGTGTTCTTGCATAGCGTGTATAAGCTGTGCTGTAAGGGTGCTTGCTACCTTTGTAACATACTCCGTTGTAAGACCCGTGTGCACTGAACATAATTTATTTGAAAGAATGATCGTGTCTGGTGTTCCGTGACGGACAACAAAACAAGAAACAAAATTAGCAGTAAGGAACCTGTGCCTGGCAGGACAATTCAAATTTAAATTTATTCAACGCTTCGACCAACAATTACGCCACAGAAACTGGATGTTCAGTTTTACGACAAAACGGCTGACATGTTTATAACGCCAATGTGTACATTAACAAAGAGAAATTACATAGATATAAATAAACGTGCATGTGGGCATACCACAGTGAGCTGGTATTCATTTAGACAGTGGTGGTTCCTGGATATATTAAATGTATTGGTGATCACTGGTCGAGAATTAAGAGTGTCGCAGGGTGTAAAATATGAAACTTGGGATAAATCAGAGACACCGGAACGTGTACTTCTATGAATAACGCTGTTCTGATCAATAAAACCCGAAATGATGATGCAGGTCTTAGACGTTTACCACTTGGGTGAGATCCATGGGTATGGTGCTGACAAAGAAACATAATCCAACCGCGATTCGAACCCATGATCTGATCAAATAAAGTTGACTGTATAACATTGTTTGGTTTCAAAAAGACTTGAGACCCCATAGGGATCTGGGAGCAGTGCGGCACCTCAGCACGTATATTCGAGTCTCCGTTGGGTACCGGATGAGAGGTCCCCGGTACTTCACGTTTATCAAAAGAGCCCACTAAGGTGGTAATTGGTAGTCAGGATGATAGTTTGTCATTGTACCGAGACGCCAAGGATCGTCGTAATCAACCACGTGTGTCGAGGCCCGTGAAGATGCGGGGTAGAATAGCTGCAGACTTGTTTCATTAATAACGACACAACAGCCGTGGTAACAGCTCATCGACGCGTACCATGGGGAAATAGTTTCGTTGTATACCATGGGGAAATAGTTTCGTTGCGTACCATGGGGAAACAGTTTCGTTGTATATCATGGGGAAACAGTTTCGTTGCGTACCATGGGGAAACAGTTTCGTTGTATACCATGGGGAAACAGTTTCGTTGTATACCATGGGGAAATAGTTTCGTTGTATACCATGGGGAAACAGTTTCGTTGTGTACCATGGGGAAACAGTTTTGTAGTGTACCATGGGAAACAATCTAAGTGTGGACCACGGGGAAACAGTCTTGTTGTGTACAATAGCTAAATAGTTTCGTTGTATACCATGGGGAAACAATTTCGTTGTGTACCATGGGGAAACAGTTTCGTTGTATACCATGGGAAAACAGTTTCGTTGTGTACCGTGGGGAAAGTTTCGTTGTGTAGCATGGGGAAACAGTTTCGTTGTGTACCATGGGGAAATAGTTTCGTTGTGTACCATGGGGAAATAGTTTTGTAGTGTACCATGGGAAACAATCTAAGTGTGGACCACGGGGAAACAGTCTCGTTGTGTACCATAGCTAAATAGTTTCGTTGTTTACCATGGGGAAACGGTTTCGTTGTGTACCATGGGGAAATAGTTTCGTTGTGTACAACGAGGAAACAGTTTCGTTGTGTACAACGAGGAAACAGTTTCGTTGTGGACAATGGGGAAATAGTCAGATCTTGACATGGCAACAGAAGCAGGGAAACTGTGTAGAACCCAACTCTAATACCTTGCAGTTGGACATCCATTATCGGTTTTCACTTTAAAACTCCACATACATTAACAATACGGGCTATACGACCTTGAAACTTGGTCAACCCAACACTGTTTTCCCCTCCAAGGTGGGACATGGTGTGCGCTTTTCAAGCAGGATGCTATAGTTAAATAAGTTTTACATTTGACGCTGTAAACCGTACACAAATTTCGTAAACTACCATTACAAAAGCTTGCAAATGTTTGCCCATTCTTAGTGGGTCAACGGCTAATGTTGACACACCCGTACCCAGGCTAACCCAATTCGTTCCAGCTATTCAGCAAAAGCCCATCTGTTGTCGATATCACAGATACCAGGCAGAATGTCGTAACATATATGTCAATTACTTCAAAATACATTGGGTCTAATGACCGTGGCCCGTAGTCCTGAGCAGAGAGGCCCCAGGCTAATATAGATTAACAACATTCAACACATACGTTTGGACCAGTTTGCAATATATATATCTGTGGTATGGTGATGTCGTTATAGGGATATCTGTCGAGGCTGATATGGGTCAAAAGTCCACGTTTATTGATAGCTCGTGTGTAAATGAACCCCGTGTTATAAACGAGGTGTTGCACATATGTTGTATAAATGGTTTAACTTCCTAGATGCCTGGTCGTAATACATTTCATATGACAGGTGAAGTTTGACATGTGTCATAAGCTACGTCTAATCAACGAGCAAAACAGAAGTTCATTATTGATTTTCATTTCCTATTATTTCACATACGTTTTATACAAAATGTATTTTTTCTTTTGGAGAAGAAGAAAAAGACCCAGGATACAAAAAAAGGATGATTGATTTTTCTTTAAACACCCCGCAGTGTTATATACAGTAAATAATCGTCTGATTTGGTGATGGCGATTCATATGAAGTAACGGTATTAAATATTGCTAATATTATTTTAATAGTACATATGTACATACTGATTTATAACTTAGATATGAAACTAAACCGCTTAATGATCACAGGAGGTAGCAGATGGCTGACATAACAAACCCTTGGGCTACACACAGGCTTGCTTCAGTGTACGTGTAATGACAGCATTTACCTCTCAGTGAAAGAAATCGCTAGACCACAACCGCAAAGCCGGGGTCTAAAACGTCACCTGAAGCTACCTAGCTATCTACTTGATAGTTAAAACACCTGGGTGGTTAAAATGTCCTGCGTTCAAAATAGTCCACTCACCTGTGATGAAAACTGCTTTTCCCCCGCTGTCCACATCTTCTTCCGGGGCCTTCCTCATCAATACAAGCGTTAGCGCCACAATCGCAACATAGAAAACAATTGAAGTAATTTCGTTCGTTAACACAACAGATCGCAGGGGCTCAGGTTGAACCATATATACTAGCAGTCCAAAGGCTGCAGTAATCAGTCCAAGAAGTGTGTGGTTCTCCATTGGGACGCACCGTACAGTATCGCAGCGCTCAACAAAATGTTTGTATACTATTGAGAAATGGGTCTTAAGTAAGTGTAGAGTTCTATTTATATCCGTTCCCCCAACTCCCGACAACTGTAGAATGTGATCACAGCGTTCATGAATGGGACTACAGAGCTGACGCTTGTGTTTAGGTTTAAGACGAGTCCATTAGCTGCGGTGGGGTGAGAAGGTTGTTTACCGTTACTCAACACGGTTGATGGGCCTCGCGAGGCATTTATTTAGTACTGCAGTAAATACAAGGAATTATCCCTGCATCTGATGTATTGGGAAGGCCTGTTAGTACCTATACGTGCTAGATTATGCCGAGGGAAGTTTGGTATCCTTATTTGTCTTCGTGGTAAAGGGGGATTGTGCAAGTCTTTGATAAATGATACCGAGCTTGACTGCACATAAAGGCACAACACGGTGGGGAGCGCTACCAACGTGGACGTAGATACCGGACTAGGCTTCTAATACACTCCCGTCATTGATGCCCCGAAGCCAATAGTAGGAAAGTCAACAACAGAATAGAACTCGGACCTAAACGTCCGCACCTGCATTGTCACAACAAGGTGTGGAGCATACGATTGAGCAATGTCTTAAATGAGAGAGAGAGAGAGAGAGAGAGAGAGAGAGAGAGAGAGAGAAAAAAAAAGAGAGAGCGATAACACATCTAGCAACGTAATCATTATTAATCATTGAGAGAGAGAGAAAGAGGAAGAGAGAGCGATAACACATTTAGAAACGTATATTTTATAAGCAGTATTAATCATCAAGAGAGAAAGAGAGCGATAACAATTCTAGAAACGTAAGCAGTATTAATCATCGAGAGAGAGAGTAAGAGAGAGAAAAGGGGAGAGAGAGCGATAACACACCAAGAAACGTATATTTATAAGTACATGTAGTATTAATCATCGAGAGAGAGAAAGAGAGCGATAACACATCTAGCAACGTAATCAGTATTAATCATTGAGAGAGAGAGAGAAAGAGGAAGAGAGAGCGATAACACATCTAGAAACGCAAGCAGTATTAATCATCAAGAGAGAGAAAGAGCGATAACAAATCTAGAAACGTTATCAGTATTAATCATTGAGAGAGAGAGAGAGAGAGAGAGAGAGAGAGAGAGAGAGAGAGAGAGAGAGAGAGAGAGAGAGAAACTGGTACTGGTTTCTGATATGCACGATGTATGTAGGAGATGTGCTACAGGCCGCATATTTTAACTGCTAATGTGCAGTAACACCCCAGGGGTAATGGAGAAACGACGACGCTCATCCGTATCCGTGGACAATACAGGCTTATGCGAAAACATTGTGTTTTAAGAAAAAATCTGGTTTATGTGTGTGCCACAGAAGACACCCATTGCATAAATCACAGATAAAAGAGCATGAAATAACGGGGACTTCCAGGCACCATGCCCATGAGACACTGCATAATAAAATAGTAATAAAACACTGATTAAAACACATTAGACGACTACTTACATATCCGTCATGTGCTGTGTACTGCATATACATACACGTGTTTCAGATTGCTACCACAGCTTGAAGCACTCGATTTTGTAAAACATTAACTTTAAACATTTCCCCGCATGGATCTGTGATTTTTATTTCACAAGTCATATCAACATGTGCTTCTCATCCATGTGGGTATGCTCTTTACAATTCCAAAATTTGTGACGATCTGCATTTTTATATTGGCTGCCCGTCTGAAACCAACGACCGCCTCCGTGGTCTAGTGGTAGAGCGTCCGCCCGGAGAGCGGAAGGTCCGGGATTCGATCCTCGTCCGCGTCATACCAAAAGACGTTAAAATATGGTACTTGTTGTTACCCCGTCTGACGCTCGGCATTAAGGGGATAAAACAAGGAATGGTCGGCTCGGAGTCAGTATTCTGTGTCTGAGTGGGGTATTCATGCTAAACTGCGGCATGGTATCTCAGTGTGCTAGCCCTATAAATCGGCATCAGTCCGGACTAGTACAAGCAGCCACACACACACACGGGCATGCACGTCGCTATATAAGTGCAATATCTTGGACGCGACGTTAAACCCCATTTCACCACCACTGCAACCGACTCATCATCCTGCTCGTCAACATACAAGGTAACAATCCGCCTAGAGAAAGACATTCACAAAGAAAGTAAATAAACTGACTGAAGCAAGATTATATACAACCTACTGAGCACCGTCCCTTATTTGATCTAGCTATAGTTTATTAGTCAAGTGCACTGCTGTGTTTTGAGACACGAAATTAAAGCTGACTGGGATTTTCTGTCCGATGCGACAGCGAGGATGCGACAGCGAGGACAAGACCAGTTAACCGGAGGTGTATTCAGAGGTGCAGTTCCAACAGTAGCTCCACTTCCATATAAGCGGACACTAGACACACACACACTGCCATGTACATATTAGTACATTATAATAGTCCGGGATGTCAACTAGCATCATCATGTGTCAGACCACAGCCGTGTACATTATGATATATAGTTCATATACACCGTATATATCATGTAGATCTTTTGATGTTCGTGATATCGACATATTCTATCATGGTATTAATTTATGTTCCCATAAGATGTGTATTTCGCCAGTTACCTTCACTACGGACCACGATACACAAGATTTAGTGACATCCTGGAGAAGCTTGAAAGTTAGCGTGATTGACATGCCGCTTCGATTAGTTTCAGCGCACTTTATATTATGCTGTCTTTGACCAACAGAAGTTAACGACGTTTCAGTGGTGGTGACGGCACAGGCAGTAACCCCGAAACGCCGTTACAAACAATAAAGGCGTTATTAACCATAGAAGAATCATGCCTTTATATTTTCGATCTTTTCCTCATTTCAAGATTTTAGAACAAATTTCATTTCAAAATATATAGAGGATATTTTTGTCTGATATAATAACATGAATATCTAACCAAAAATCTGTATTTCTCATTTTTCAGATCACGAGAAAACAAAACCATAATACAAACATGTCATTTCACTGGAGTGAAATGTTGATACCATGGGGTTGATCGATATTTTCTGAACCTCACATAGAAGGAATCGCGTCATAGTGAAAATCGACATTACATGATGTCATAGGGGCATATCAACAAAATCGTTAGTCATTTCAGTAAATTGTTCGCTGCGACAGTAAAATAAGCAAGAATCTGTGGAAAATGGACAAACTTGAAAAACGAGCAGTGATCAAGTACTTGCAGAAAAAGGCATAACACCAACCTGCTCATGTCACTGCATTATCCCTAGTGAGTGAGTGAGTGAGTATGGTTTTACGCCGCTTTTAGCAATATTCCAGCAATATCACGGCGGGGGACACCAGAAATGGTCTTCACACATTATACCCATGTGGGGACTCGAACCCGGGCCTTCGGTGTGACGAGCGAACGCTTGAACCACTATGCTACCCCACCGCCTCACATTATCAAGGAGAACTGAAACACAAAGAGAAAACACTTTGTCGAAAACATGGTGTTACTGTATACCGTGAAGGTGATTCAAATCCGATAACGCCTGTTTCCAAATATGAGAATGAACATCACCGTCCAGCCGCAATAACCTCATCTGAACGGATGTGTTCAACCCGAGGGTGAGAAGGGTACTTGTTCTCGCACAACAGATTTCATTAAACGATTTCCACGTTTACTCCACAAGGATATCTCCCGGTTGGTCGGGAGACTCTCCTTAACGTGATACTAGACACTGAAGCAGGCGCTACTGGCCAGTACCATTATGGAGCCCAATGCTGCTAGGGGGCTGGCTACACGTACGGGGGAATCACATCGGTCAGCCAATACGGAGACCCGCCAGCCTTCTCCGTCAAGTTAACGATGTAATATTGAACGAAGTATGTGCTTCACGTTTGGGATAATGAAAAAAGCACTGGTTGAAAATTCAAATAAGAATCACATGATTTTTTTCATGACCCTTCCTCCGTGGTTGGATTGTACCCAACGGGTTGTATCTAGAAACCTACATCAATCAACCGACATTAATACATTACACGATAACAACAATTATATATTGATACATTCACCAATGGCGAGCAAAACAGAGTAGCAGTCAGGCTTTTTTCCTGTAAACATTAATTGTCTGGGGGGTTTTAACGCTTTTTTTCAAAATGGATAATCATATTGAGTGCTTTTGTCCTTTTCTTGTCTATATAGCACCTCACGCTGTGATCTCGCGTTGAGCTGCTTGCATAGGCGATATGTTGGTTTGTTTACCGCAAAGTATCCTTCTCGATAAATGCCTACCCACAACTAAAGTTGGGCACTTATGTTTTTAGTGATGTTTACCCTTTTTGATAAGCACTTGACGTTTAACACATTTTTATGTGTTTATAATGTTAAATATCAAAAGCATATTTTTGAGCATTTTTTGGACTTAACTGCTTTGAGCCAAGTTACAGAGTAATAGAACTGACATCTTCCCGGGGCAAGGGAGTTAACAGACTATAAAAGTCCTGTTTCCACACTGGACTGTTACAGTCAGTTATAACTCCCTTGTCTCGGGAAGATGTAGAACATGGATGAAAAGAATCCAACATTCGTTTGTGTTCAGTCCAATGGGGTCAGGCTCTAGAATCTAAGTTTACTGAGTTTCATCTTAGTTGCTTTGGGTCGTTGTCCGCATCTGTAAATCTCGTGGGTTTTGAAAAACAGAATATTTCGTGGGAATTGATCAATGGCATTATTTCGACAGACGTACAAAGGGCCGGGCTCCTTGTCTCCGCTCTGAGACTTTAGCTTTGACTTTGTTCTATCGGTCGGTGGTGCTTCACCAGGCAATGTCAGTAGCTCGGACGTTGTTCTATCAGTCGTGGTGCTTCACTAGGGAATGTTGGTAGCTCGGACGTTGTTCTATCAGTCGTGGTGCTTCACTAGGGAATGTTGGTAGCTCGGACGTTGTTCTATCAGTCCGTGGTGCTTCACTAGGGAATGTTGGTAGCTCGGACGTTGTTCTATCAGTCCGTGGTGCTTCACTAGGGAATGTTGGTAGCTCGGACGTTGTTCTATCAGTCGTGGTGCTTCACTAGGGAATGTTGGTAGCTCGGACGTTGTTCTATCAGTCCGTGGTGCTTCACTAGGGAATGTTGGTAGCTCGGACATTGTTCTATCAGTCGGTAGTGCTTCACCAGCCGATGTTGGTAGCTCTGACATTGATCTTTTGGTCGGTGGTGCTTCACCAGTCAAGTTGGTAACGCTTACATTGATCTATCGGTGGGTAGTGCTACACCAGCCCATGTTGGTAGCTTTGACATTGTTCTATCAGTCGGTGGTGCTTCACCAGCAATATTATTTTCTCAGAAAATCCACATATCAAATCAAACTTGGCACTGCACCTCTCCCATTGATATAGAAAGTGTTCACCAAGTTTGAAAAGATTCTATGCTGTAGTTTTCAAGTTATAGGTTGCACACAAAAATGTCCCCGGAAGGATGGACATAATTCCATTGTATAACTATATACTCCCGCCCTTGCCAGGATGGTGACATGTGACATGCTTCACTTAATTTCCAAGAATGTTACTCTCATATCACTGCACCTGGACAAGACTTAAACCTACCATAAATGGGCATTTCAATGTTAGATTGAAGACATTTAAGCAATGACACTATGAACTTTTAGAGTATTGCTTACCAGAATCTGCATTATGCATTGATGCATAACATGCAATCTACAGTTTTGATAGGTATAATTATTCAAATAGCAATACTGGTGTGCTCCATTAGTGTGAAGTACCATTCCCAGTTTGAATGGTGTGAAACGTAATATTTTGCATCAAGTAAAACACAAAATACCCCACATTGAAAAGGGTAATTTGACATTACATATGGTTAATATTGCGTTGCTCTGACTGCTCCAGCAAAGATAAAAAACAAAACTTGTGATACTTAACACTTGGTTTATTTTCTCCTGACAAGGAGAGAACATCAATGTTCAATGTTCATCTACACATCATATTCACAGATAGGAAGAGGGCTTCCTTATAGTCTCACACACACGCACACACACACTAGTCACTGCTGGGCTGCACCTGTGCCAGGTACTCTGCATATGTTATACTGGGACCATGCTTGGCCGGATCATAGAACTTCTTCTGGATAAACTTCCTTCCCGAGTAGCCGCACACGCCAAATTCATTCTTATCCTGCAAAAATATAAAGACTTACCATATAGTGGATTGTGTAATATAACCCAATCTAACCACCATCCAAAAATTATGCAAATGAAAAACATTTGATAGGTTCTTTCCAATGTATGAGTGCTTATGGCAAACAAATATGGCTGTAAATAATTTGGAATTATATTATACATGGGGTGTTCCATTGAGATATTGTATTCCTACAGTTACTGTATGATAAAAATTATATACAATTCATGTTCTAACACTGCAAAAAGGCAACAGTAACAGTAACTCCTAATGTGCTATACAGTAACCAGTACCTATGACACACATACAGTGTCCGAAAAGAACTGCTTGCCAGCCTGCCTGTGGCTTGCAACCTTTCTGCCAGGCTGCATGGAATCTTCCTCAACCTTTCTGGCAGATAATATTAAGACTATTTACATATTCAGTTTTATTATAACTCCTTGTAGGTTCTCAAGTAATTGTTTGTGTTATTTCAACTGAATCAAGATGTGAATTACCTCTTATTTCTGGTGGCGATCTTTCAATATTAATAATGTCTGAATGAGGGCAGGTTAGTTTGAGTGTGTGAGTGAGTTGGGTTTAACGCCGCTTTTAACATTATTCCAGTTATATCACGGCGTGTCAGCTTAATGTGGGAGGAAAGCCCGAAGTGATGCAGGTCTCGGACGTTTACCACTTCGGTGAAACCCACGAGCACGGGTATGGTGCTGACAAACCTAGAAACATAATCGGGGCGAACCGGGATTCGAACCCACAATCATAGGTTTCTGGGGTGCCCAAGGGACGCAACTCTGCACAGCGAATTGCGGCGCCTTAGACGACTGGGCCACCCGTGCCCCCCAGGTTAGTTTGAAGATGGTTAGGCAACACTTATGGGTCAGTCACCTGCACGACCGTATTTTGGGGTTTTAAACATATTTCAAACATTGCACACAAAACCAATGAAGTAGATAGTTCCAAGGTTTCACTGGCCCACATAAAAATGGACCAGAAATATCACAAATAATGTTTTCAAGAGTCTATGTAGAAACTGGGAATGACCAATAAAGGTCTATTAAATACTTCCGACTTTATTTCATTTCCTGCATTGAAGTATTTCTCACAATCTTGCCACCAATACCACAAAATAACGTGAACTCAAATTCACTCAATGTTCCCATGACAGCAAGTCAAATCACCCCTTCTTGTAGTGTAAGTGTGAGCGAATGTTGTCTTTCATCACACTGTTCCAACTTATGAACTATATCATGAAACCTGGTACATCGTTAGTTGGGGCAAGCAAACCATAGGTTGATAGCATGAGCTACTATACAGGTTTGTGATGACAGATGCCATGCCAGGGGCGTGACAAAGACGTCAGACCAACATAGCCCACTTGCACAGACATTTTAGCCCTAAGACTATCGTAAGCCTATGTTAAAGTATGGGAGTTACGATCATCTTAGCAGTAGGATTGCTTTGTGCAAGTGGGTCCCAGTCTATTCTGCCCAGTTATCCCAATATGATTACAAGAAATATAACATGAGAAGAATATGCTCTTTGTTTTTCGTTAACACTGTACTGTGCTATATTCCAGCAGCCTGTAAGTAATCAAATCTGGACCAGACAAACCAGTGAATATTATTATAATGCCTCATACCATCGGGGCACGATGACACAAAATCAAACAAGACATCAAGAATGACCACACGCTCCATTTAGTCGCCTCTTATAACAAACATAGATTGCTGGGGACCTATTCTAACCTTGAATCCCTAATATGAGAATAACTAAAGACCAGAAACACAGACCAGGTTAATGTAGACCTTGGGGTGTCCCAGTGCTCCACCACTGTCGCTCCACACATTGCGTGCCTCCACCACCACTACAGGATCTTCCGCTATCAGGTTCACAGCGAACTGCTCATTCACCTGGAAATATACACAGAGAAGTGCACCACTCAACACTTAACATGCTAAATAGGACAGATTTTCAAAATGACCTCAACAATTCTATTAATATTCAATTTTAGATAGCTATGCGATACATTGTAAAGAACAATAAAGAACAAAGCATGGTTTATTTCACTATAAAACATTGTGACCGCATGACCATCATGACCTCATTGCTACAGATTCAAATATGCGCTTGCAACTTGATGACGCCATATATTGGATGACGTTATTTTTGAGAGGGAAGTATCTGGTAAGTTGTTCCCCATAGGTGTAGTTGCACCACGTGTATAACACAGTGGCCGTACAATCGCATCCCAAAGTGGGAGAGATTTGACAATTGGTATTAGGAGAAAAGGTACAGATAATCGACGTGAGGATTGTGAGAATATGCAGGAAATACCAAACATAATCCCCCTGTTGGTAATATGGACTTGTCTGACATGTCCGAGGTCAGATTCTATTCAGGGGGGCTGTACATAATTGTAAGGAAGAAACGACTCGTGGTCGTTGTTTATCATACAAAAAAACACTGCAGGGAGAATAAACAACTGAGGGCTGTGCCCCTCATGGTTTATTCTCCCTGCAGTGTTTCAATGTACAATAAACGCTCCCCCTCGTCGTTTACTTATGAATTAAAGAGAAAAATGTTGAAGATATACATATGGATATGCTATAAAATGTTCAAATACTATTTGTATCTCACAAAATGACACTACAAATCATCATGATACGGATAAATGCCATGCACCAATCGACAGTTTGATCAGTTTCAGCCACTTGAGAAAGATTTCATTGTTTCATTCTATATTTCTACCATACCATATTCTTTACCTTTTTTTCTTTTCAACAGTAAGCTTTTTAACTGTGTATCACCGATCACATGCTCAATGTATTGTAATCAGCAAGATCAGTTTATATCAGCAAGAGTGTAGCATAAGGTACAACATCATGCTAAGTGTCAACTCACAGAAATTAAATGTTTGATTTTTCTCTATCTTACCATCTTGTCCTTGTCAACAAATCTCACACGCCGGTAGTCTCCCCTTTCCCATACCTGAAACATACAACACTGTCTTGAACAAAAACATGGCTAAATATGCTCAAGGAACGGTCTTAAACATATCCGTACCACAAACAAATCTAAACCATATCAATCTGAGTGAGTGAGTTAAAGTTTAACGTCACATCGGCAATATTTTAGCCATATCGTGACGAATATCAATCTGAAGAATGATGAATACACTGACATTATTGCAGACATACTGACACAATACATGTAATCACTGATGCAAGAATCTTCGGTGAATGCATATTGTGTTAAAACAATGGGAAAATTTGTACTAGCCTGCAGCAATTTGTACCTAGCCGCGGGTTAGACGGCTAGTGTTAAAGGAACAGCACATCAACGGTTGTGTTAGTTACCAAATCATGCATGAAATAATTTCTGAGTGTGATGTCACATGCCTGGTTCAATTCTCATTCCAAAACAATAGAGCGATGTGCAGAGTAAACTGGCTTCAGTCTTGTTTTTTAATAGAGGCAAATCGAAGAGAAAGCTTGTGTATGTTTTTTTTATGTCTGAGTTACAAAACTACTAAATGTCAGCTTGTAACATGTGTAAGTGCCAGTGTGTATTGAAGCCCAGGTTACAATTAAAATATGCTTTGGTCGTATGAAGCCAATCACTTTCCTACCCAGAGTTCAGTGTGGCCAGGAGGGGTTATTGGCTAGTTTACAAACAAAACTTCAGAACGGTTGACGTCCTGTCCCTCTAAGTTCTAACCCTGACAGTGCAACATCCCATGACACTGGTGTAGGATGATGACAGAACAATCACCCAGATCACCTAAAAGCTGACTGGTGATTCAATTAAAAACTCCCTCTACAGAATGAGGTTGGAGGGTCATATTCTATTGGGTAACCACTGACAGCATTTAGTTCCTGTGTGGAGAATTTCAGCTCTAGTACCTACTTTATTCCAAGGACAATGTAAATATTTCAATCAGGTTTTTTACATAGAAGTTTGTGTAAACATGTATTTCGCTGAGAAACAGCTAGAAATTAAAAACCTAGCAAATACCATGTTTACAGGCTTAGTTTTAGCTATACATTCTCATTTAATTATATCTATGTATATATGTTGGAGTTGAACATGTGTGAATGCACGTATACGTTAATACGCTAAATGTTAAAAGGTTATAAACTAAAATCAGAATATATAAACTGAACAGTGACATTCTCGAACCCAGTTCACCTGACTTGTTACTGGAACGTTTGCATTCTCACAAATGAATATCTAAGATCATATCGTATTCATTATACCTGTCCTGTGTGTGTTTTTTCATCCACGTGAGACTGAGATCCGAGAGTTTTTGGAGTGGATGAGAATGCCCGACAAACGATTTGTCGACCGACATTCAGTCCTGCCCTTGACAAGGCAGCCATTTTGAATGCAGTCAAACGAAGGGGAGTAACTCTGATTTCTTAATGTACACGTATTTTGTTCATCCGAGCAAGCCAATGTAATCTCAGGTTCGAATCGGGTGACAACAAAAGAGCAAGCGCAATATTTTATGGTACATTTTTGTATGGGGTGTGTAAAACAATAAAAGTAGATAAGCATACGGATATTTACAATGTTTATCAAAGTTCAAATGTACCATTCAATGTTCTTAGCGATTGTATTTTCATATCGGTGCTGCTAGAAATGTGAAGATTCAGACCACCACGCTCTGTTGTCGTCTGCATTAATAGCTCAATTTAGGCCTTTTCATATTATATTTGAAGCAGAAATACATATCCTGGCTGAACAGGCCCAATGCAGACGTTTACTTACTTAGCAATATGTTCATTTAGCACATTTACATGCACTAGTTGAAGGGAAGATTCACAGAATCATATTTGCTTGCTTGATGTTTAACGCCGCACTCGATACTATTCCAGATATTGCCATGACTGAAGGACGTCTGTAAATAGCCAGGTCAGGACTAGACAATAAGTGATTGATATTAGGAGCAATAACCCACACCGTGTTGGCATAGTGACACACAATCAACCATATCCCTTTCGTTACCTCGCACAGCAAACAAAATAATGTAAGTAGCTGGGGATCCATCTAATCTGGAATCTCCACGGGGCCATTACCACAAGAACTATCTCGCCACCCTGATGTTCCACGACCAACTGTATAATCTCTTGTATTGTATGTATTGTCATGGTTGTAGGTGTAGGATATGCAGTATTGTGTCGTGTACATGATGTAATATGTTTAGTGACACTGTTTATCTAATATGTAGACTGGTTCCCGTTCGTTCCTTTGATTGAAAAGCGGAACAAGTGCAGCGACACCAAGCGGAGGATCCGGGAACCAGTCTAATATAATATGTCACCCAAGCACACACCCATCTTTGTTTCCGAATTGTATTTCAAGGGCTCCTTTAAAATAAGCAACATTTTATCTCCATCCTAGCTAGCCGCGCCAACACTAGCATGGTCTATGGGGATTATTGAACCAAGATATATTTCTAGATATATCTGTTTAAAATTACAATGATAAAAATTAACATTGGAAAATTTAATTCCAATATCTAGAAAAAAAAGAGAAATTAGGAATAGTATTTAACGATGAACACGCTTACACATAAAACACGCTAACTGGTATTATTGACATGTACACGCATAATGTCATGTTACTTTGCTAATTTTATTAACTTGCCTTAAAAAGGCTGGTGAAGGAATGTGTGGAATCTATCCCCTATCCGTAAAGAGATATTAACATCTGGTAAGAAATAATTTAGAAGTCTTTCATTCTCAAAACGACGAACGATATTGATGAGAATTTCATAATTAAACACGATTTTAAACAGGCAGACATATAGTGATTTTACGTGCGCATCCCGGGTGAAACCGGGGATTATTCTATTTTTTTACGAACCATTATGATTTTGAAGAATGAAAGTTGTCTAGTTTTGATGAAATACTACATAATATCATAATCATATATCAGTAAAGATACCAAGTATAATGGTCCCTTGTGTGTCCAAAATAACGATACCAGGCACAGCCAGAATGAATCGACATCGTAATATTGCGACACAATAGAGGTAAAACAGAAAATGTTACAGACAAAACACCCGACACTTAGCCATCACTTTCTGTCGGCTTCATCGTCATTAATTCTGAAAAATATGAATTTGTTTCGCTTCAGGTATTGTTCAATGTGCAAAGACGATGATTGTGGGTTCGAATCCCGGTTCGTCCCGATTATGTTTCTAGGTTTGTCAGCACCATACCCATGCTCGTGGGTTTCACCGAAGTGGTAAACGTCCGAGACCTGCATCACTTCGGGGTTCTCGGTGGTCTAGTGGTAGAGCGTCCGCCCGGAGAGCGTAGGGTCCGGGGTTCGATCCCCGGACGCGTCATACCAAAAGACGTTAAAAGATGGCGCTCGGCATTAAGGGGCTAAAACAAGGACTGGTCGGCTCAGTATTCTGTGGGGTATTCATGTTAAACTGAGGCATGGTATCTCAGTGGGATAGCACTATAAATCGGCACCAGCCCGGACAAGTACAAGCAGACACACACATATACACACACACGTGAGCATGCACATCGCTATATAAGTGAAAATATCTTCGACGCGACGTTAAAACCCCATTTTACCTTCACCTCACTATACGCCTCTATTATACGCCTTAGCAAATGCTTAGCACTCCTAAATTGAAAACTATATATTGACAATATGTCATGATTAGGCTGCGACACCTGAGTGGAATATTTCTAAAAGCGGCGTAAAACCCGATTCACTCACTCCTAGAAATTCGTGTGACGTTGGACGCCTGACGGAAGTGTTTGAAAACGTTATATGAGTTGTTGACCAGGCGTCTGTCATCTTGAAATGAAAACAAAAGACCACCATGGTATTATGCTTCAGAAGTTAATTTTCAAAAAAGCCTTATGAGATAAACGATTTGGTAAGATTTTTTTCAGTGTTTACAACATAAAAATGAAATAGTTCACATGCAATAAGGTAGTTGGTGTTTAAGTGAGTGAAAGCTGTTTAACGCCAATATCAGTCATATCACGGCGGTCTGTAAGTATTCGAGTGTGGACAGGACGAACCAGTGATTGAAAGTTTGAGCAACACTCCACGCCAGCGGGGGTCACGATGACCAGCTACATGGCATGCAACAGAACCTGTCCATCTGATCATGGACAGCATGAAGCACCGAGGGCATTTTCTGACCAGGAATCCCCACAGGGTGGATGGTCCTTAATCTCTCCTTATATGTTTATTACTTCAATGTACTGGCGGTGCACTGTGCCTTCTAATGCCACTCTGTGACATTCAATGTCAACCATCATCAATATTTCACGGAGTTACATAGTGTAAACAAACCTGTAAAGTAATAACGATGACATATAACCCGAACCTCATAATTCTTTACTCAAACTAGTGAAACAGTTCAATTTTAAGGTTTCAATATTCAATTCTATATTCAGATAAATAAAAATGGACTAAGCCATTTTCATAATCAAAAGAAATCTCTGCTATAAGCAGAGTCCATTGTATAATTCTGACCATTGTTTTCATCACAAGCATGTGTTTATACCAGGTGTTCGCGAAAAGGTGAGCCTATCCTGTCCACCGGTTGCACACTCGACACAAACACATGCAAAGGTAAGTCAATTGTCCGCCTGGAAAGACACGGAAACACCTGGTACAAATCAAAATAAGGAATTGCATCGAACATAATTTTTGTCACTGATGCGACACATTTGGAAATATCCTCCACGTCTTCCGTAACACTTTTTGAAAGCTTTACTCACGCCTGAAATGTTGCAGCCAAATGTATTCAAACCTTGTTTCATTACCATCATCTCATTATCCAATGATAGCTCCCCCGCAATTAAACCGGATATTGCTGGTGGTGTGGGCATCGATATGAAAGTCTGCTTGAGCTGCGCTGGAGATGCATTTGCCGCCAATCTTGAAGTTGTTGAACTGCCAGTTGGTGACTCTGGCTCCAGAATTCCCTGCTATTTCGTTATGGAGACTGTCGTGGCCAGGCTGGGAGTCCACAGACAGGTTTATAATGTGGACGTTGGAAGCCGTCCCCGATGCCCCGTTGGCCATCTTCCAATACACAATACGTGGACAAGACCCTTCTACCCTAATGTTGGTGAAGACGATATCACTCATGGCGAAATGCTTTGTGTTACCAGCCAGGTCGAAGACTGCGTCGTTGTCGCTGATGTGACAGTTGGAACCTTTGAAAGTGCACCAGTCGGTGTGAATGACGTCGATGTCACTGATCCTGACTTTCTTCATATCTCTGCCGCTCCACCATCCGTTCTGGAAGACAGCCCCGTTCTGCATCTGCCAGATGACGACCCTCCGTGCCACCATGTTGTCTGTATATACCTGAATACAATAAGCACGCTCCAGTTTGGTTTCTAAATTACTCGAATGGGAGTTACATTTGCCACACCATCCCATGTTCTAGATTATTTGTTGGGTGTAATTGAAATTAATTGAAGATAGGGGAAACCCTGGTCATCCTGACAGTGCCTATCCTTGTAAAACCCATTTCACCTGTCGCTACTGTTCCCAGTAAAACCATGTTTCTTCACCAGTACCGATCCCAGTAAAACCATCCTTGTCCGTCATTATTTTTCCCAGTGAAACCCTGTTCACCCATCAGTACTTTTCTTAGTAAAAACGTGTTCACCTGTCGTTATTTTCCCAGTAAAACAATCTTCACATGTCGTTTATTTTCCCAGTAAAACCCTGTTTATCTGTCTTTTTTTCCCCCAGTACGTCCCCTCTTGACCTGTCGTTTATTTACCCAGTAAAACCCTTTTCACCTGTCGTTTATTTTCCCAGTAAATCCATGTTGACCTGTCGTTTATTTTTCCCAGTACGTCCCCTCTTCACCTGTCATTTATTTCCCAGTAAAACCCAGTTCACCTGTCGCTACTGTTCTCAGTAACCCATGTTTATTCACCAGTACCGATCCCAGTGAAACCCTGTTCACCCGTCAGTACTTTTCCCAGTAAAACCATGTTCACCTGGCGTTTATTTTCCCAGTTAAACCCATGTTCTCCTTTCGTTTATTTCCATAGTAAAACCCTGTTCACCTTACGTTTATTTTCAAAAAAAAACCCTGTTCACCTGTCGTTTATTATCCCAGTAAAACCCTGTTCACCTGTCGTTTATTTTCACAGTAAAACCCTGTTGACCTGTCGTTTATTTTTCCATTAAAAAGCTTTTTACCTGTCGTTTATTTACCCAGTAAAACCCTTTTCACCTGTCGTTTATTTTCCCAGTAAAACCAGGTTCACTTGGTGAGTACTTTTAACAGAAAACCCATGTTGATCCGTCAGTACTGTTTCAAGTAAAACCCTGTTTATCTATACGTTAAAATATCGACTTCACCAATCATCGCTACAAAATAGATATTTAATATTATGTAAAAGTTTCTCACACTACTTCATAATTCTGAGTCTCCAGACTATCACATATTCCCGAGATTGTTTGATTTTGATAACAGAACACGATTTGCATTATGTGAGAGAGACACCTATCAACGCCCCTTCGGTATTGCCAATGCTAATTTACTGCTCAAGCAGAGATCCAAGAAATGTCGACATAACAAAAATCACAAACCTTCAGGGCATCATCGTTTGCCGAGATGAAGCAGTCCTCGACCAGTCCATCATGACCAATACCAATACCATCGGAATTATAGGCCCACGACCCAACCATCTTCACATCACGGACGGTATTGTGATCGCTCAGTCCGCGGTAGAAGTATTTCACAGGATCAACCATAATGATACCCTCAACTACGTGAGAATGTCCCTTATCAATGTCGATCATGGCCCACTGAAATCTTGGATCGTGCCACGTGTATGTAGCAGTGGAGAGTATTCCTCTGCCATAGATCTTCACTGGTTGATTCCCGGTGGTCTTAAATCCTCCTTGAACATACGCCCCTGGTGCTAAATATACTTCTTTTATGTGAGAATCCAATTGTTTTGGGCCATGCAGATTGTGTATCCCTACGTCATAATACAGAACAGAGTTGTCGTTCTTGTTTGGCTTATGTGTCTCAGGCGGATCTGCGAACACAAGGAGCCTGTCTGTTATGTCTGGGCCTCCATCACTGCTGCCGTAGTCATAGTCAAATTCTACGGACATCCACTTCTTGGTGTTGGACACGGTGAATTGGGCAACCTTGGTTCCTGTTCTGCGGCAGTGGTAGGTGTAGCTCTTGGGTCTGACGATGCAGTTGTGGAAGTCGCGCTGGGTGTGGACCTCCACTGTCACGGCACCGCCAGTGAAGGAAAACGACGTGAACGACATCGATCGTCCTGGGTGTGCAGATGATGTTTCGTGGGAACGTTTGTCAGAGGTGGTAATGTAAGTGAAACTGTCATGTTTTCTTCCACCTTGACTCACATACACCTTGAATTTGTTGGAAGCTGGGGGACCACTGGCGTGTGGGTATATGATGACGTTTCCCGTCGCCTCGTTGGCGAGGATGACGAGAACGACCCAAACACAGAGACCGACCATGCTGTGGCGGCACCGGCTGACTGTGGCACTAATAACTTAATATGAATCGGCAGAGATTGTGACGCATGAGACCCATCCCTTCTAATCAGTGCAACCATAACATTTTTTCACTTATTCAAAACATATTGTCTCTACATTCTGTAGAGATAAAAAGAAACATCTGGTACTTTGCTCTATCTGTCTGATAAACGGAACTTTTTCTATTCAAATATAGTTACTGTCTCGACTGTCACGTGGTACGTGAGGGTGGTCTAATTTTGGAAGAAAGTACCCATACATCACTGATACCCAAGTGAAATGAATAAACAAACACATCGATTATTGAGTCATATCAATATGTAATATTCAAAAAGCAGGATATCGGAATAAGAATGTGAACTCAGGTGCACGTGCACGACCAAGGTTTCGAAGTAGGTTTCGGATAGTTAACAAGTCAAAGTCAAAGTGACCACCATTTGCAAAGACATTTGCCTGGCAATGACTCCGAATAAGGACAAAACAGAGAATTCAGGAAGCCTCGGGGACGTCATTCCAGATTTGCCTGCTGCAGCTTGGCCAACATCACACGACTTCGAAGACGGTGAAAACGTCGTTTCAATTCATCCCACACGTTCTATGACGACTTTAAAACAGCAAATCCCATACCGCTAGCTACATTAATAAGAATGTTATATGCACGTCCGGTTTAATGTCATCACCGTGTGGCCTTGATTTTGAATGAAGGCCTCTTAAAACCAAGCAGAGTCGATGCCCCACACTAAGGAAGGTATTTACTAAATTTGATCGGACTGAAATAAACTCTAGATAGTTGTTGAGTTATTATGAAAATTGTTCATTTTTGAGTGTACGACATTGAGCGTGAATCCGACCTTCCAAACTCAATGACAAGTATTTCAAGAACATTCCTGAGGGCAATATAGCAACGTATGTAAATACAGCACATGCTGCATGACCTCAACATAACCTACTACTGTTATCATAAGATTGTTAACAGTCAATTCCTTGTCGAGTTAAGATATAAACAAACTGTTTTCAGGCTGACCTTGGAGACGACCTTGACCATCAACTTGGCTCATCAAGACCTATTCTACCCCGGATCTTCACGGGCCTGCTACAACATATTTTATCAATAGGCGAGTGTGCCTGATTAAAAACCCCTTAGGTATTTGCCTTTAGATCATGATAAAGTCATCTTGTTATCATATATATCATTTTTTTCAGGTGTTCCATACCGGCTTGATTATCAGGCGAACAGTCGTGTGGCAGATGCAGTTCGGAGCCATCTTCCAGTTGGGATGGTGGAAGTCCAGGAACGTTCATGACATCCGGGTCTCCGACGTGGACATTATACATATGGATTGGTGCGCGTACAAGGGAGATAACTGTCATCTTCAGCCTAATGCTGCTGTCTTCACGGTGTCCGGCCACACCCACGAGTTTCACGTTGATGACATCATTCTCAAGGAGATCCGAATTGAGGGAGAATGTCCGAGACTGGTAGAGCGGAAACTCTACAACGGAGCTGTGGGAAAAGTTAGCAATCTGCGTTTCGAGAACAACTATGTTGGATCCGTATCGAGCAGCATGCATAACATTATAGCAGGCACACCAGGAGCTCATATCCAGAACTGGCAGTTTATCAATCTCCGGTATGGCGGCCACTGTGTCTGTAACGCAGGTGCAGGGCACTTTTCGGTTGACTCGCATACGACACACAACAACTTTGTATGCGGTACTGGTCCTATCATTGGATGATATTAATGGAAAGTACACACTGTCGTTTAAAACATCAAAACACACTGGAATATTTGCAAAAGTCGCAAAAGCAGAGCCACTGTACAATTCCGCATGTGTTATGAATCGATATTAATAGTGATGATACCACGCGTGGCACCCGTCACTAACACATGGAAAGACAAGTCAGTTGTTCATCTGAACAAAACAGGGTAATATATGGTACAGGTCAAAATATGGACATTAAGTTTGTCACTAATACGTCACATTTGGAAATATTCTCCACATGTATACCATAAAACTTTTTGAAAACTTTGCTGAGGCTTTGAATGCTGACACCGAATAAAAATTGTTTACCAAGAGTCGTAAGACGCTCTTTAAAGGATGGACATTAAGGGAAAGTTGACCATTGGAAAGTTGAAGTCATCCCTCTTGTCATACATTCTTGTGGATAGTTTTGTGTCACTCAGAACAGTTACGCATAGATCTAAATATGAAAGAGATGAGGCGGTTTCACTGGCTCCCTTTATTTCTAGTTCAGGTGGGTAAATCGGTGGTGGGAACAGGCTAAATGATGGCTATTGAGCGATATCAGATCGCCGATATACCTGAAGCTAAGATAATCATCTTGGCCAGATTCCCTTGTTTTGACGTTTCCAATCCGAGCAGAAATTCCGATTCATATGTATAAAGATGGGGAGCACAAACGTTGCCCATGTGTTAGTGAGGGAGTTATAATTTAACGTCGCATAGGAATTATTTCAGCCATATAGCGACGAGAAGAAGTTGATATATACACAAGTGAGTCATGAATGAATACACAGTTCTATTTAAAACCAAATTTGTCAAACATATTTGGGCAAGACAATATTATCTATAAAGTTGCAAACATCGGCGATAGGCTACCAGTAACCAATGGTTCCCATGGGATGCCGACCTCTGTCATGTTAGGCTTCATGACTAAAATCATGTTATGAGTGATGATATTTTCCGCATTAACATGGAAATGAAACACCTTTTAACCCGTTATTCTTTATAAACTGTAATGTAACACTCTGGTATGACTTCTGCATTATAGTATACAGAAGAATATATTGAGCCACATCACTTATACGGTCCTACTATAAGTGAGTGAGTGAGTATGGTTTTACGCCGCTTTTAGCAATATTCCCGCAATATCACGGCGGGGGACACAAGACATGGGCTTCACACATTGTACCCACGTCGAGAATCGAACCTGGGTCTTCGGCGTGACGATCGAACACTTTAACCACTAGGCTATCCGACCGCCAGGTCCTAAGACATAAAGATGAACAGTAATGTCCGGTTTACTACAGACTGCCATCAGAGAGAACACAGATACAACCGTTAAGGCCACAGTGATTAGGGTTGAGATATAGGATACTAGAGCAAGGGCAGGCCAGACTGAAGGTCAGGGTAGATCTTGGGTTGTGATCACTACGGACAGAAGGTTGTACGTTCGTCGTCTCAGCCATCACAGATGACTAAACTATAGTTATTGTTTGTAGCGAGTGCGTATTCTCAGCAATATTCCAGCTGTGTGACGACGGCCTGTAAATAATGGAGTTTGGTCCAGAGAGTCCAGTGATTGATATTAAGTGTAATGATCCAAGCTGTCTGGGTACGATGACACAATACAAACCAGTTCACTGAACCTGTCCATACAATCTATTCAGTCGCCTTGTACGACCGTCATAGGTAACATTTGTGATATTTGGGATAACACTTCCTTAGTGAAGTACAAATTCTAGCACTTTTTGTGGTTGAGTCCCATCCGGAATTCGAACCCAAACTCCCAGATTGAGGCACCAATCGCCAGCACACAAAGTCATCCACCGAAAACTCAAATGCTTTGACATAATTGAACCTAGTTCTTTTCTGATATTGTAAAAAGTCACGCAAATCCTTTGAGATTTTGAGAATCCACATGGTATTAATTCCGCTTGTCTCAAACACTTTCTGTGAATGAAAAGAAAGTCCTTCCTTGATTTTATTAAGGATTGTGGTTAATCGTTGAGACAGGGATTTGGTGGTACATTTGTTGTACCCAGCAATATACCCCTCTTTGTACGGATCTTTATGGAGCTTTGGAATCCAGTACATGTCATGGACATATCTTCAGGTTAAAGAGTCATGTCAAAAGTGGATAGTACCGATGTATGATTTTGGCAGACGAGACTTTTCAGTTGAGACAACGAGCAATTTCAGTTATGACAGCGTGTGATCCCTCCCAATGCAATGGCTGCTCTTTGTCACACGTTCACGGCTTTGATGTTAGTTATCTACATTTCCGAAACCGTTTGCGATTTAGATATGTACCCATCCACATCTGGCGTCCCTGGGTCATAACGTCCACGTCGATGCATCACAATTCACTTATATTACAGAGTGAAAGATGCGTAGTCTGTTAATAATAATAGGACATCGTCTTTCTCAGACAGTTCCGTGACAGTCGAGATCAGAACAAAGACAGAGTTTACAATGCATTGTACGGTAACAGGTTACATGACAGGGGTCCCATGACAGCCCAAATCGTCACCCAAAGAAACTCCATCAGGATATCAGTGCGACTATGGTTGGTTGGTTGGTTTGTTGTTTAACGCCGCACTCAGCAATATTCTAGCTATATGACGACGGTCTGTAAATAATCGAGTCTTGACCAGACAATCCAGTGATTGATATCATGAGCATCGATCGACGCAATTGGAATATGATGACAACTGCGACTATAGAAGCAAGGAATCAACCATACGGACTAACTTCTAATATTTGCAGACTGCCGTCAAACATGACATTGTTTATACAATGGCAGTGCAGCAGCCAGCATCATTGGCAGCTATTGCCTCAACTGTCTGCTGGATGTGAACACAAGAGAAAGCATGTCGGCTAAGCAACAATTTGCATGCGCATTTTTCATGATTTGCTCGAACTGCACTATGTGTGAATGTCCAAGGTCATACCACCAGAAATCATTTCTGAACAGGTCGCCAAAACGCATATCGACCATTCTCTGTACATTAAAACAGCTTTCAGACTACGGCTAGGTATATGCTAAATTAATGCCCATGGCGACTTTCTTTTGCCTTCCAGTATAGCTAAAAATGTTGAATCTAAACCAACTCATTCAGTGTTGATATTCTTTGGTTTCAGCGAAGGGAACAACGTTTCTTTTAATAAATGAGAATATTATCCAACCATCCTAGGATATTGCTTCAACACACACGTCTTCAAATCTAGCAAATATTGACAGTGTGATCTTTGTGTCTTGTTTTCTTCCAGGAGCCCACGAAACATTTTGGCCGACGAGATATACCCATATGTCTCATATCCTATCAACAGACACAGTACATTTGAGATGTTGAAATGTACGTCATATATGACATGATATATTCGTTATCTGATCCTGTCAATATCAAGCAACACGATAACAGCTATCGTGGAGTGTAAACGTTTGATAAATAACATAACAGGTAGCCATTCACCATAGTGTACTAAAACATCATGGAAGTGTGTCCAGTCATCTACCTAGTAATGACAATGATGGGCGGATGTATGGCCGAGCTGGTCATATACCCTGCACCTCCGACCATGGAGTCATCAGATAAGTATGAGGTATTGGTAGGTCTCGGGGATCCATTATTGGGTACCTTCACTTACAAGACGACCTCGAACCACAGACATATCGAGAACCACTACGTCCATCCCAACCGGTCCGTGTCCTGGTCGTCTTTTGCATTCAGTCGTGGTCCGGTAATCGTTGAGGTCAGGACGCAGAAGGACTTCAGTCAGTGTCTGGTTCGCCCGGTAAGTTACAAGTACGCCTGCAGTAGGGTGGGGAACAAGACGGCTAGGTTTACAGTGACTCGGAATTCTACTATGATGTCTGTAGAGTTTGATAATGACTACGGCAGTTGGAAGTCCGACATAGTCGACAAGCTGCTGATATTTGCAGAACCTTTGGAGAGAGATGTTCCTTCTAAGAGTGACCCCTCGGTAATGTTCTTTGACGTCGGTGTGCATTATCTTGACGGTCAAGTCAGATTAAACTCGAGTATAAAAGAAGTTTACATCAGTGCTGGAGCTTTCGTTGATGGAGGGTTCATCACCACGGACAACACAAAGGTCAAGTTCCATGGAAGAGGGATCTGTTCAGGCCGCAAGTACAAATTTCATGACAAGCGATTTCAGTGGTCGTTGATCAACACTGCACAAGGCACTAATCACACAATTGAAGGCATAACGTTAAGTGATCCCCAACAGTTTTTCATATTCGCCCAAAGTCCCAACAACATCATTAAACAGGTCAAGATGGTGGGCGCCTGGCCTTACAATACTGACGGTATTGAGATGGGCGTTGGTGGTTTGGTGGAGGACGTGTTCATTATGGCCAATGACGACTCACTCAAGGTAATGCCAGACTTTAACCTTTAACAACTCTGTGTGTTTCAGATATGATAGCTTATCAATTATCAATTCATCAATTCCATCTGTATTATTTATGTCTTAGTTTCGTTAATAGCTCTAGAGATTAAACATTACTGTAGCCCCTAAAACCATTACAATCTGACCCGTGAAGATCCAGGGTAGAATAGGTCTCCAGCAACCCGTGTTTGCCGTAAAAGGCGACTATGCTTGTCGTAAGAGGCGACAAACGGGATCTGGTGGAAAGGCTCGCTGACTTGGTTGATGCATGTCACCGTATCCCAATTGCGTGGATCGATGCTCATGATGTCAAAAACTGGATTTTCTGGTCCAGACTCGATTATTTACAGACCGCCGTCATATAGCTGGAATATTGCTGAGTGCGGCGTTAAACAACAAACAAACAAACGTTATAATCTAAGTATAATCCAGAATTGGTTTCTTAGGATTAGTTTGAACTCACTCAAAGACCATCGCACACTTAGTTATCGATTGCACATGTAAATAAAGCAACACAACCCTTTCCATATCCAATAGAAACCTCCGCATAAAACAGAGTCGATTGTACGATTCCGACTACAACATAAGCATGTATTTGTGAATCACTATCAAATAGTAATGATACCAGGTGTTCGCGAAGCGTATCCTGCGGCACCCGTCACCGGTGACACCGGTCACAAACACATGCACAGGCAAGTCAATTGTTCACCTGAAAACGACGGGAACATATGGAACAAGTCAAAACAGGGAATTGCATCGGACATCAATTTTGTCACTGATGCGTCAAATTTGGAAATGTCCTCCATAAACCTTTTTGAAAGTTTTACTGAATCCTTGAATGTTGTAACGGTGATCAAACAACTTCTGAGCAAGAGTCGTACGACGCTAAGTCACGTTTTACTTCAGAGATTCCAGTCTTGCTCGATGGTTCCTTGAATATCTGGAACGACTTAATGTTAGTTTTCCTTATAGGTGTACAACAACGATATGACGATACAGAGAGTGGTCATCTGGCAAATGCAAAATGGTGCCGTATTCCAAACCGGCTGGTGGACGGAACGTGACCTTCACAGAGTCAGCATCAGCAACATCGACGTCATTCACACGGACTGGTGTACATTCCACGACCCCGACTGTGGTATGCTTAGTAGAAACAATGCAGTGTTCGATCTGGCTGGAAACGTCAAGGTCATCAACATGTATAATGTGTCGTTTCAAAACATTCGTCTTGAAGGTTTTTGTCCTCGTTTTGTTTTCTGGACCATGCCGGCAGGGATCAATGGAACTTCATCCAATGTACGATTTATAGATGTCTCGGTTGGTTCACAGCCAAGTAGTGGCCAGCTCATGAATGAAATATCAGGTTATAAACCCAACGGCTATGTGTCCGATTGGCTATTTGCTAATTTGTCTGTAAGCGGACGATGTATTGCTACACCTAACGCTGGGAGATTCGTAATTGATAATTCAACAACATCAAATATTAAGTTTTCGTGTTAGACATGCTACTTAGAATTAGAAATGATTAAAAGAAATGATGATACAAATAATCCAGACGTGTTTCAGGCGTATAGTTGTTGATTCTGTTCGCATGTCATGTTAATTAATACTGTTTTTTTAACGTGGCCTTAATAAACCATCATTAAAATTATTCTTACATATAAACTGTGGGGCAAAAGAAACTATAGCTCTCAATTGTATTATATGTTTGATTTTCATTTATTAATATCTCTAGTTAGTGATATTATATATAAAAAGGTGACTTTATTTGCGCTTAGTCAGCACTCAAAGAATACTTCTAGATGATTTTTATTTTTTTTTACAATAATTTGATTTAAATTTTCTTAAATTAAGAAACAAAATTCGGATAGTAGACAACTGCCGATGGGTATCTTAGACATCTTATATTTTATAGTTTTTCGCACAAATTTACATTTCATGGTAGGGGATAACTTACAGGAACGATTGATCAGACATAATCCAATTTAACAACAGTTCTTTTAATTTTAAGTTACATAAAAAACAAACTCGGTATAATTTTTTTGCCGGTCAGTTTAGCTTGTGTGTGTTGATGCTGATGTCTCATAAAGACCTTGCTCCCACAATCATGCTGTGGCTTTTGTCATGTATCGAGTAACGTTAAGAGAGAAGTGACATTCAATATTCTCTGTCATTCTATTTCTCATTGGGATAAGCATGTTAATGAACTAGATTAGGAATACATTCTCTTCATATGATTACATATGTAAATATTATATGTACCCATAAGCATCACGCTGCTGTCAGCCCAGGTCTGTCTATAGAATCAGGGAAAGCCGATTTCCATCTGCAGTGGAGTGCTGGCACAGTGACAGATCTGTCCGACAGTACCTCCATTAAGCCAAGGTGCACAATCAGCTAAATACCCTAACGCCTTTCATATTCAACCACACACACAGAGCATATGCCTGCTGACCAGAAGACGTATTACTCGGCAATAAACCACCCCACCCCACCTCACCTCACCTCACCTCACCCCATCCCACCAACTTCACATCACCTCACCTCACCCCACCTCACCTCACCCCACCCCACCTCACCTCACCTCACCTCACCCCAACCCCTGTTGCGACCTATATGACCGCCGTTATGTAAGTATATGTTATCTGTGTCCTGCACAATATTTAGTCACGTGACCAGTAATGGTGGACCAGGTACTTGTTGTACCTGTATTGCTTATACAACCTAGAATTATGTAACTTTTGCACGAATTGGAACTCCACAAGGTGCGACAGATCTTTGACTTGTGATATGAAAAGGCATAATTACAAGAATAAGTTTTTGAGTCATCGTTATGGCCACTCCCATATTTAGTTTAGTCTGCTCGACTCCATTCGTTGGAAGTGTATGGAAGAGGATATGTGCGAGACAGTTCGGTGACTATATTGGCCTGCACGTTTTTCGATTTGTCGAGTTCAACACAACTTTGTTTTCTACTAATGCAGGGTAACGACCTCAGGTCTCCGGCTAAACGAGCCGACGTTATAACAACGAGTGTCCCCACCGCCCAGTCAACATTCGATGCACAAACATGCAAATATTCGTTATAATATTGTACCGAAATACTTACTGTCAAGTGTAAACTCCTTTTTGCGGTGAATGGCACATAACACACAGTTGTTGACGGCGCCGGAATTCACTTTTAAGAGTTACGTCCCTTATTCGTGTCAGGATCTGCTGATCGTTGAAGCGAACTCGATATTCGTGTTGGTCCTTGTTTTTCAGCACAATGCTCATTATTCATGTCTGTGGTTATCATCAAAGTTAGCATGCCTTGATAAAACTGAAATCAAATGTGACGTTTACCAGACTTGTTCTTGTTGTGAGTGTTTTGCTAAGTGTGACGTCATAGTTTGATCAGAACGTCGCCTCACAATGTTAGTGGGGGCTTGATTGTGGTTTTGTATCTCATATCTTTTGTGACATATATATATTAGGATATTATATGAGTGTTCATGTCATACTATGTTTACGACACGAGTGTCTAAATTCCGGTGGCCCAGTCGTCTAAGGCGTCGCGATTCGCTGTGCAGAGTTGCGTCCCTTGGGCACGCCAGATACCTGATTGTGGGTTCGAACCCCGGTTCGCCCCAATTACGTTTCTAGGTTTGTCATCACCATACCCGTGCTCGTGGGTTTTACCGAAGGGGTAAACGTCTGAGACCTGCATCACTTCGGGCTTTCCTCCCACATTAGGCTGACACGCCGCGATATAACTGGAATAATGTTAAAAGCGGCGTTAAACCCAACTCACTCACTCACTCACTCACTCTAAATTCCGGAATTTGGGCATAGTGCTAGCGATCGTTGACATTCTACTTTCTGGGGTTAGTGGTGAGTTCTTTACTTATATTGACAGGTTAAAGATAGGAAAGATAAGAAACGTGAATGTGATTCTGCAAGGCATGTGCTAGCTGATACAAGGCACTGGCTTGGATGAAATATTACAGTTACGTAAGTCTTGACATATGACATTGTATCAATATATCTGTGGTTTGTTTGTTGTTTAACGCCCTACTCAGCAATATCCAGCTATATCACTGTTGTCTGTAAATAATCAAGTCTGAACCAGGCAATCCAGTGACTGACATCATGAGCAACGATCTACACAATTGGGATACGATGACATGGATCAACCAGGTCAGCAAGCCTGACCATTACGGTGATCTAAGGAAGTTATATAAAAAACAACCAAAGATGCATCTTCCCGAGGCAAGGGAGTTAACTGACTATAAAAGTCCAGTTTCCGCCTTTGCCGAACTAGGCTGGTATTATGGAGTTACATATTGGCTGGACCAACGAGTCTATGCATAGTCCAATCAAATTCGCGCACCGAAATCGAAATCCGGTTCGTAAACTGTCGTGCTGATTTTGGTCGATTGCAGGATTTGCAAAGCATGTGCACCGCCAACTTGTTGTCAGTTGATATTTTCCAAATCGTTTCATGTTTTTAATCGAGGTGCTCACGTGATTTGATGCATTTCGCGATGTAAGACCCGTTCTATCACAATATAGATCTTGATTATCGATCAGATCGTTTTGACTGGGTGCCACCATTTTGTGTGAAGCAAACGCAAGTGATACGAGAGGTGGAATCTGATTGGTCAATAGGACAGGCATAGAAGGGACATAACTCGTAATAGCCACTGGTGGCGCTACGATCGAGCCCTGGAAATCCAGCCTAGTTTGGCAAGGGTGGGAACTTGACTTTTAAAGTCAGTTAACTCTCTTGCCTCGGGAAGACGCCAAAGATGTGTCCAATAATCGCCTTGTCTTGTAAGAAACAGATTCGTGTAATGGCTGGCAAACCCTAGTGTTAAATAGGTTGTCTGATGTTGTTTTCTTTTCCAAAAATGTGTTTTAGCTTTAAGGTTTTATTGGCTTTAAATGACATGTGAAAACACAGACATGATATTCCAATAGATTTTGGCACTCTTTGTGTAAAGTGCAAAAAATAAGACGTTTATCATAACTTTATCGTTACCTTTTCGCGATACCTGGTGTCATCTCTGATTTTCAGTGGTCCATTCACATATTTTGCACAGCTACTTTGCCCGTTTGCGCTAAATGGTAGATAATCTAGACTGGTTATTCTCTTACATGAATGAACGATTTATGCCTTGAAGCCATCGTCCATGAAGCTGAATTTCTGTGTTATGATGTCGGAAAATAACATTAGTGTCCCTTTCTCAGCCACGTCTGCTTTCATCATTGTGTAAGTTGGTATGCATTAAGCATGTGATATACATAACGACCGTTACATTGTGTACCATCGTGGCTGCCATGTCAAATTGTAGATTTAGCGCTCTACCCTAACAAATGTTGCAACTTGTAATTCGGAATATTGAAGCCTTTTCCAGATATAAATCCGGTCTAACAACTGATAAATCTACAGTTCCATCTTATTTCTCATATGATCTGATTATAGCATAATACATACAAAATAAGGGCATCGTGACAGTGAATTAAAAATTCAATCGGTATAAACGAGGATCTAAAATACCGATGTGGCAAACCATGTGAAAATTCGTATCATTTTTTTTTATTTGAGCTAGAGTGAGTGAGTGAGTATGGTTTTACGCCGCTTTTAGCAATATTCCAGCAATATCACGGCGATGGACACCAGAAATGGGCTTCACACATTGTACCCATGTCGGGAATCGAACCCGGGTCTTAAGCGTGATGAGCGAAGGATTAAACCACTAGGCTACCGGACCGCCCCTAAATTAGCTAGAAACGAACTGATACACCCACTATTGTTAATAGTGAAAGATGTTTGTGATGTTAATATTGACTTGATACTAGTTGTCAGTGCAGCTGACCTTATCATGTACCCTTGTACCCAAGGGAATCAGTGCCCTCGGGTGGTAGCTCAGAGTTGACGGCGGAGGACAAAACTCAGGGGTAAAGTTTAAGATTGCAGCAAGCCAGTTTATTGTTAAGGCTGATAAAGGCTGAGTCGGACGGTACACGTTGGTAATCGCGTGGCAGAACGCGTACCGAGGGGGGGCTACTCAGTTCGGTGCGGAGATCCACTCTGTAACTAACACACCACCCGTCAAGATCCGGGGTAGAATATGTCTTCAGCAACCCATGATTGCCGTAAGAGGCGACTATGCTTGTCGTAAGAGGCGACTAAGGGAGTCGGGTGGTCAGGCTCGCTGACTTGGTTGATAGTTGACTTCACTTACCTCACCTCACCTGTCAAAGGCTAGAGACTGTCAGTCGCCAGATATTCTGTTCGCTGATGTTCACGTCAGTTTTTGGTAAACACAAGGTTTCCAGCCGTGACCTTTGTACCGGTTATGACCTTTGTGCCGGAATATAACCCTACTATGCTATGTAAACGCAAGTGGTATCGTTATCGTGGTATCTAATAAGGAGGTAACTGACGTCATGATAACTTTGATATCCCAAATGTATCTATCGACCACACTTCCAGACATACGCTTGGCTGTCCTATATCGCTGTTGTATCGTTATTCTGAATACGGTGCAATCTTTCTCCTTGATTTTACTGCACCAGGATTGTGCAGTCTTCTTTCACTTTTACCACTCTTTTGGAGGCCAGTTTAGAATAGGCCCCTAGTATATCATGCTTGTCGTAGTGGACTAATTTAGGGATCTTGGACTTGGATGGCGTGTCATTCTACACCTATGATAGTCCCTGACGTGAAAAGTTATCCATTTCAGAATTATTGTCTCATACAGACGATCACATGTCCTTCCTGAAAACAGTTTCCAATGGTAATACGTCTCGTGTCCAAGAGTGAAAGGTGTTTAACACTGTTGTCATCCTAAATCCCCCCCGTCACGAAGTGTTCGTCCGTCCGTCCGTCCGTCCGTCCGTTTAGTCCCGTCAATTACTTTTCTTTACAGAGTTACGACCCTTGGTCCACGTAATTTTACTTATTGTAAAGTGAAATATCATTTCATTCATCTGCTGTCACAGTTTACATCCATGCTGATGTCGGAGGAGTAGACTTCACAGGCAAACAGACCCTTGGTTGTCGTAAGAGGCGACTAACGGGATCGGGTGGTCAGGCTGGCTGACTTGGTTGATGCATGTCATCGTATCCCAATTGATGGATCGATGCTCATGATGTCAAACACTGGACCGCCGTCATATAGCTGGAATAGTGCAGCGTTAAACAACAAACAAACGAACATAGGCAAACAATTATCATATTTACAGTTTAATGTCAAAATATAAATCGTGAGACAGCAATTCAGATATGTCTACTGCTTTCACTGCATGATTTGCAACATGTATAGCAGTCCAACAGTAGTATAGCACTCAGTGTTTGACCATGAATGTACTCAACTGAAAAAGGAAAAATATAGGTATCTTAATTTATTTAAGCAGTTCAAATGTAATGAAAATTTGCAAAAATATGTTGCAGCCAAAAGAAAATTCAAAATATGCTGTGGTCAGAAAAAGAAACAATTTGATGGTAAAATAGTTGAAGATTTGAAAGATGCTGCAAAACATGGTAATTGTAAAACATTTTGGAACACCCTTAAACGGGTTTTATGTAGCAAACACTCTAAATGTGCAATATCTCCTGATGCTATTCAGTTATATTCTAAAGATTTGTTAAACTCTAACAAAACAGAAGTGAATGAAGATTTTAATGTACTTGTAAATGAATTCAGTCACTCTTGTGATAATTGTGATAGCTTACCCATTACAGATGAGTTGTTATCAGATATTATTACTGATGAAGTAGCTGAAGCGTTCAAAAGATTAAAACTCGGGAAATCTCCTGGTGAAGATGGAATCCCTCCAGAATTTTTTAAACTTTCAGAAACAATTCTTATTAAATAATTGAGACCTTTATTTAATAAAATATTAGATACCGGTATATTTCCTGAAGTATGGAACATTGGACTTATAATACCTATACATAAATCTGGTGTTACCTCTGACCCCAACAATTATAGAGGAATATCCCTGCTAAATGCAACTGGGAAATTATTCACGTCAATACTTGAAAAAAGACTACGATCATGGATGGATATAAACGATTTAATACATGAAGCACAAGCTGAATTCAGATCAAACTATTCAGTAACAGACAACATTTTCACACTCCAGGCTCTTTGTACTAAATATTTATCAAAGCGAGGGGGGCGATTTTATTGTGCTTTCATTAATTTCAAGAAAGCCTTTGACTTTGTGGAAAGGAAAAAATTATTATATATGCTCTTACAAAAAGGTTGCCATGGCAAGTTGTATAATGTCTTAGCTAGTATGTATTCTGCTGTTAAGGCTTGTGTAAAAACAGACAAAGGCAGAACAGATTTGTTTACAACTAGCTCCGGTGTAAGACAAGGCTGTATCTTAAGCCCACTTCTGTTTATCTTCTTTATTAATGAGCTTGTAACTGACATTTATAAAACGTGCTGTCATGGTGTGTTTGTTTCAGAAAGTATTGAAGATATTATGCTACTACTTTTTGCCGACGATGTGACTATGTTCTCATATACAGTTATTGGTCTACAAAGACAATTAGATATCTTAAGAAAATTTTGCATTACCTGGGGCCTAAGTGTGAATCTTGATAAAACAAAAACAATTGTTTTCCGAAACGGTGGCATTATACGAAAAAATGAAAAATGGTTCTATGGTTCTATAAATGTAAAACTTGTCCCTTACTACAAGTATCTTGGAGTATTTTTCCCCTCAAGGCTAATCTGGTCAATGGCCTGTAAAAGCCTAGCATCACAGGTTTCTAAAGCCATTTATCATGTTTTCAAAAGAAATAGCTATATAACATTCGAAACAGCTTGTACAATGTTTGATTGTAAGATTGCTCCTATATTACTTTATGGGGCTGAAATCTGGGGGGCAAAATATTATGAATGTATAAAAAAAGTACATACGTCCTATTTTAAAAATTATCTTTGTATCGGAAAATATGCCTCTAATAAAGCTATTCTTGGTGAAACTGGGCGATTAAATATGTTCGTGTTTAGCAAAATAAGGGTACTTAAATACTGGTTGAGATTGCTACGTATGAATCAATGTCGATATCCAAAACAATGTTACAATCTACTTAAACAGTTAGATGATAATGATAAACACACCTGGGTGTCTGATGTAAGATATATTTTGTTTTCTTCAGGCTTTTCATTTGTATGGATCTCTCAACATATTGGCGATGAAAATCTATTTTTGCTAAAAATAAAACAAAGGCTGAGTGATATGTATTCTCAAGAGTGGCATGACTCGATTTCTTCATCAAAATATCTGTCACATTATGCAAATTTGAAATCACTTTTACAGCCAGAATTTTACATCAGTACTCTCACGAATAAATCACTCAGGAGAGCATATTGTAAATTCAGAATATCGCTACACGGTTTTAAGATTAACATGCTACGAAAGTCAAAACATACAAATGAAGACTTGAGTCTATATCTGTGTACCCACTGTAAAGGGAGGCAATTAGAGGATGAATTTCATGTTTTGTTTATATGTTCAAAATATTCTTCTGTCAGAAACCACTATTTGCCTTGGTCATCCAATGTCCATCATGATAATCACAGTTTATGTAATCTACTCAACTCCAAAAATATCAACATTGTAAAGGCTTTGGCCTTATACTTAAATCATGTATTTAATGTGAAATAAGACTACTTTTATTTATTTTCCTGACATCACGTGACGCAGCAAATATTGTAATTGTAATTGTACTCTAGGCCCAAAATACTGAATAAAGAATCTTGAATAGCACTCAGTGTCCCAGGTTCATACCTGCACTTAAGGTGGGCAGCAAAGTTTACATGTGTTACATTCCACATTTCAGTAGAACCCTTCTGGCCTCCAACAGTATGTATGAAGCCTCACAATTCTGAAATAGTGAGTGAGTTTGATTTCACGCCGCGTTTTAACAAAATTTCAGCAATATCACGGCGGGGGACACCAGAAATGAGCTTCACACATTTGTACCCATGTCGGGAATCGAACCCGGGTCTTTGGCGTGACGAGCGAACGCTTTAACCACTAGGCTACCCGACCGCCCCAAAATTATGAAATAATGAGAAGGCTCAACATTGCAAGCACCAATGAATATTCTTGACTTCTTGAAACGAGGGGGCACTGGTGGCCCAGTCGTCTAAGGCGCTGCGATTCGCTGTGCAGAGTCGCGTCCCTTGGGCATGCCAGAAACCTATGATTGTGGGTTCGAATCCCGGTTCGCCCCGATTATGTTTCTAGGTTTGTCAGCACCATACCCGTGCTCGTGGGTTTCACTGAAGTGGTAAACGTCTGGGACCTGCATCACTCCGGGCTTTCCTTCCACATTAAGCTGACATGTTGTGATATAACTGGAATACTGTTAAAAGCGGCGTTAGACCCAACTCACTCACTCACTTGAAACGATAAGTACTCTCCCTTCTGGATTTAACTCAGTGAAAGCTTTCATCTCACAACACAACTGAGATTGTAGAATTAATCTAGATTCACTAAAGGGGTTCAGCCTAGAAAAATATGACGATATACAACAATATTTTCTTATTTTCTGAAATGTAGTGCTTTGTAAAATAAATAAATGTATCCGTACAAAGAGTGATATATTGCTAGGCCCAGCATGTGTACAACCAAATCCCTTTCCCGAAGATTAATAATAATCCTTAATACAATCAAGGAAATACTTTCTTAGTATTCACAGAAAGTATTTGAGACAAGTGGAATTAATACCATGTGAATTCTCAAAAACTCAGATCATTTGCTTGTTTTTTGTTGTTGTTTTTTTGTTTTGCTATCTCAGATAATAACCAAAACATTTGATTTTGCAAATTTGTACACAGCTATCCCACACGAGAAACATAACGGGAAAAACACATTCTTAATTCATGCAACATTTGTCACTAAACGTTTTCATCATAGATATAGTTACATCTTTTTCATCAGTCGTGAATGGAAATGGCGAGACACAAATGTCCCTTATTATTTCAGGATTTTATAATAATAGAGGCAGTCATGATACAAATATACATCTCTGTAAATGTATTCGGTTGACTCGTTCAACCTTAACATAATCATAGAATATCGATGCATTAAATTACATTCAAGCTATAGGGAAACTACAGAGACACATTGCCATGAAATGTGTTAAGTCTTGTAAAGTCCTGTGCCGGTAACTAAACGTGTAACTGGACATTTATCTCATAACTGCCTGTACTTTTTGTCACTGCACATGTTTCTTCGCGGTGTCTGAAGTACGGGGCACTACCCATAGATTACAGTCGGTCATTGTTTCATGTTCCCTTGACAACACACGTATCTAACTACACACCAAGTTTCATCGTTCGCAGATTACAGACATTCATGGGTGTCTGTTGCCTTGACAATATATTTCCAATTTCATCATTGTCACATCTCATGACAACCTCTTCAGGTACAGGCGCTTTCGAAGCCGTGACTGGAACATTGGCATTTGTTTAAATGACCCACCAAAATTCATAGCAGCAACCTCCCCGTTAACCATGGTCAGAATATCCACCATGTGATTCTCAGGAAAGTTCTGAATTTTGTTGCACAGCGTCGATATAAACGGAGAACCTCTGTCCGGGTAACGATACGCAACAAATCCTGTAATAGTAGAATGTGCTATTAAAAGGTCTCCAAACTCCGGCACAGTTGGGCTCTCTCGAGTGACTTCAGGAATTGCTGCAGAGTCTGAATGAGCGTTTGCTGGTGATTGGACCATGGAACCCTGACATGCCTGAATTATGAACAGCTTGGGCTTCCCCGCTAGACTAGGGCAGTGCTGGGCAGAAAACAACGATGTTAGTCTGTCAAGGTCGATTGTCAGGCCGTCTACTCCCAGAATACTGTTGCGTGATCCATGAGACATGATGAAACAGACAAACATACTGTTCATTGTATGATCCATTTTAGATATATCGTGCATTCTCCTGATGAGTGATGAAACATCTTTGTTCTCAATGTACCTCATATCAAATCCAAGTGGTCCAAATGTAGATTCGATGTTCTCTACGTCCTTAACAGCCCCGTCTCGATACGGCAAGTTTTCAAAAGTGTCGTTGTTAACAATAACACACAAACCAGCTGTTTCTTCAACTGGATAGATTTGTACTCCCGAGTGGGGATCACTATTCCGAAGGGCCACTTCTAGCTGTGCTGGGCTACTGTTGATTACAAAACGTTCTTCCAAAACTTGTTGAAGAACATCAACCAACATCGGTTTGATATTGTAGCCAGTTTTAGCTGATACAGAAAAGTGGCCCTTAACTGGTCCGAACTTGTTGATGAATGCATCTACAGCCTCCTGTCGAACGTCGTTCCTGTCTAACCTATCACATTTGTTTCCCACAACAAAAGTATTTGGATTCCCTATCATGAAATAATGACACCAGATATAACCCATTTGTGCTCTATCAAAGCTAGAAGCTTCCTCTCTGTCATAGAACAGTAAACACGCATCTGCCTTATGGTACGCAAAGGCAAGAGCTCCATTGGACTTCACACCTCTGTACTCCGTGATGTTTACAAGAACTGGAACTCCAATGATATTCTCTAGATCCAGTTCCACAACATAACACCTCTTACCAAGTTTGAGCTTCTTGCAGTGTCGTGTATCAGCCAGCTGTCGTATGAAGAGAGATTTGCCCGATCCTTTAGATCCGAGAACATGCAGGGACACAACCCTTCTACCTTCGGCCATCAGGATCATACAACCTCTCCTTGGACCTACAAAATAAGGGTCAGATAGTTCTTGACAAGGCGAACACATGGTCAATTTATTGACATTTGCATCATAACTAGTCACAGAATATCATCCTAAGAGTATCATTATCTCGACCGCCTTCCCCACCCAAATGGATGGATAGATGCATCCATCCATCCATCCATCCGTCCGTCTGTCCTTCCATCCATCCATCCATCCATTCATCCACCCACCCATCCATCCATCCATACCCGGATTTGAGATTCAGTAATAAACATTATCAATTGGGGTTTTTATACTCAAAATTACTACAGTTTATCTACTCATGAACGAATACCAACTGGCTAAAGCAGCAATGATGGAGGTCTTGAACAGTCGGAATAGGACTACATTTTTACGCAAATACGCAGCTAATCTGCTAATCTTTTTCAAGTAAACAATTCTTGCCTTTGCATGTGTTTGTGACGAGTGTCATCGGTGGGGCAGGAGACCATCAGTGTTTGATAATGACTCAAAAACACATGCTAATTATTTATGTAATCGTTCAATCGACTTTGCTTTTTGAAGGGGTTTTGTCGTTTTTATTTACTTATTGTCATAAATCGGAATGAGGAAAAAAGGAATTATGGAAATTTACTACTCAAAACACCCTGCCGACCCTATGTTTGTAACTTGCATTTTGTTTACGAATATATTTTTGCAAATACTAATGATAATCCGTTGTAAACATGTAAAATCTTCCTTTAGAAGTCAAAATCTAGTTTTTTAAATGAAAACCTAAAACTCCCCTTCTATTGTTGATTGATTGGTTGCTTGTCGTTTAACGCCACACTCAACAATATTCCAGCTATGAAGTCGAGACAGGACCAGACAATCCAGTAAGCATCCTTCTACGCTATTTGGATACGATGACAAGCATACTCAATTGTGAAGCGAAATGTAGGCCATGATTAAAGTGAGTGAGTGAGAGTTTGGTTTAACGCCGCTTTTAACAGTATTCCAGTTATATCACGGCGTGTCCGCTTAATGTGTGAGAAAGTGATGCAGGTCTCAGACGTTAACCACTTCGGTGAAACCCACGAGCTCGGGTATGGTGCTGACAAACCTAGAAACATAATCGGGGCGAACCAGCATTCTGGCGTGCCCAAGGGACGCAACGCTGCACGCCGAATCGCCGCGCTTTAGACGACTTGGCCCCCCGTGCCCCCCGCCACGATTAAAAATAGGGCACATGTTAAACAAAGATTCCACATATAAAGCCTAGACGGGTTTTTTTACTTCTGGTAAATGGTAGACACTATTGGGTATGACTTGTAGATACAAGCCTTATACTTGGATACTAGACTGCTCAAACAAGATCCAGGTCTCACATGTTTTCATTTCAAGATATGAAGGGATAATGTGGCCAAACAACATTCATAAACTTCTTTGATAGGCATTTAGAAGTTGGAGTACTAAGTAAGGATACGAATTTATGGATGAACAACTTCTTTATTACAATTAAGAGCAACGTTTCGGTGTAGGTTCTAACACCGTTATCAAGCAAGTGATTTACAGAGTGTGGTTGGCAAGTAACCAAGTACTTGCCAACCACACTCTGAAAATCACTTGCTTGAGTAGTTCATCCATAAATTCTTATCCTTACTTAAAATTTATTAAGTATTTCACTCACAAAACTGGTGTTTGTTCTATCCACCAAACGTCAGGTATTCGTTCGAACTGTTATCATTTGTCTGCTGTGATTGTAAGCTGGTTTGTTGCGAGAATGGTCACAATCCCGTCCTTGTTGGCTGAAATGGCTGCTTGGTTGCGTTTTTGCTGTACCGTTTGATAATAGACACAAACGGTACATGAATAGATGATGTTCACTATGAACTGACGAAGTCAATCCTTACCTTATTTCTATTATTTTGACTGTTTTGCCTAGTGGCTATACTGAATGTAGTTTCCAAATGTTCTGAGACACTTGAGATTGAAGTTTACGGCTTCCTAAACAATCGCAACACTACACACATAACAATCTATAAATAGCTGATGTGTTTTCCCTTCAAAGAACACCATGAAGCGAAGGAACATTTCCGGGTAATAGAGGGGGCTGCATGCTAGGTCATGTTGACCTGGCTCTGTTACGTCATGAGAGTAGCAAGGTCCGTTATTAAGCCCTGGCATATAAAGTCATGAGATAAACGAGGGGCGTTCAATAAGTTTTGCAACTTCAATATAAGACCAAGTCGCAGCATATCTTTTGCACTTTTATTTTTCAATATAATCTCCATTCACCTCAATACACTTATTCCATTTGTCCTTCAAGCTTTTAATACCACTTTTATAGAGATCCGCAGATTGGCCCTCTAACCACGCCTCTGTGGCAGCCTTTATGTCCTCGTCATCCTGGAAGCGTCTTCCACGTAGGGCAGATTTCATTTGCCGGAACAGTAAAGAGTCACTGGGGGCTAAGTCTGGTCTGTAGGGTGGGTGATTTAACTGAACAGCCCAGACAGGTATGAACATTATAAGTCTGAAAATTGGGACTTTGCAGGAAATGAGTCCAAATATGTGATGGCATGTATATGTGTAATATATATTAATTAAAGCTTATCAACTGTATTTTTATGGTCCTACGATACCGTAGTTTTAAAATATAGTAAGAATACAAAATGTGATTTTTCACCTATAAGGTCCCTTATTTCATGCTTGGTCACATGTTATTCTGTAGATGATGATGACCTGTGTTGCCGTTAACAGTTGGTTGGTGGGTTTGTTGTTAACGCCGCACTCAGCAATATTCCAGCTATATGACGGCGGTCTGTTAATAATCCAGACTGGACCAGACAATCCAGTGATTGACATCATGAGCATCGATCCACGCAATTGGGATATGTGACATGCATCAACCAGATCAGCGAGCCTTGCCTTTTACGGCAAGCATGGGTTGCTGAAGACCTATTCTACCCCGGATATTCACGGTTCTTGCCGTTAACAGTCAGTTTACGGGATTATCTTAACACAAACAAAGACGGTACTATTTGTTTTTGTAAGGGGGAAACCAGAAAGTCAATACACACATCACCAAACAGATGTTTTGATGCCACAGTCATTTGAAGAAAAGATGAGACGTAAGACTCCGGGAACACGTGATGATGCGGGACGCCTGCACACTACAAATGTCCTTGACCCTTGGTCAGCCATTGCTGAAGTTGGCCAATCGCCGGCGCAAAAGAAACAGCAATATGGTAGTGGGCGTGTATATGTCTTTAGTCATACGGGAGATGTGTGGCTCCTTATCAAATTTGAAAACTGTCAGAACTTCATCATTTAGTTGCATGCAGGGACTAATAGTGCAAAGCATACCAGCGTGGGGGGTCGTTTTTCCTTGTGCTGAGTTGCGTCTCCTGGTGGATCATAATACTTCGTTCGCGAATTCGAACTCCCTACCCCCACCCCACGATTGTCATAATTGGGTTCATGTATTGTTGTTTCGGTTATTTGAAGAGACGTGTCTTCAGGTGTTATAGTGTTGAAATACAGGTTAAAGCTCACTCACTCACTCAGTCATTCCCATTATAGTGTGTTTTGACGAAACAACACTGGGGTACCGTATTCGACGTAATAAGCGCCCAGGGCACTCTCAAAATTAGAAATAGGAGGCTCTTATTAGAATATTATTTTAATGGAAAAAACCGAGTTGAAAAATAAATTTCGTGGTCTATGCTGACAGCCTGAAATGTTTATATACGACATATATATTTTTCCAGAATTTAATTGCCTATAATTAAGGGTGCATATAACACACGAGTGCGTATTATACGCGAATAAATAAGTCTTGTGTACATTGATCAATCCGAAGGGGTGCTAAATGGGATTGTTCATTAGTCAATATATTAGCAAATATCGCCATGGGCGCTGATTAGAGCGGGGCGCTTATTACGTCGAATACGGTATTATTTTTTTATTGTGTTCACTTCTACTTCTTTGAGCTCACAGATAAAAAACAATCAACACTTCCGCCGCGAACAGCCTGAGCCAGTGGTGGTTTATCATACATATTTCATCATACCAATAAATAGAAAACTGGAATATTTGTTTATTATTACAAATGATATCCGTTCTATGTTTCAAATTAAAGAATTACAGACAAATTATAGAAAGGACACACGTTTGGACAAGGGAGGTATTTTGAAGCAAATTATACAGATGGTTAAAGATATACGCGTATTTATGGAAGGGAACGTTATGTTAGTATATGTACGTGCATGCACGCGTTAGTGCTAGCCCACTGAGACACTATACTGCAGTTTAACATGAATTCCCCACTCAGACACAGAATACTGACTCCGAGCCGACCAGTCCTTGTTTTAACCCCATAATACCAAGCGCCAGATAGGATAACAAGTACCATCATTTAACTTCTTTTGGTATGACGCGACCGGGGATCGAACCCCGACCTTCCGCTCTCCGGGCGGACCCTCTACTATTAGGCCACGGAGGCGGTCGCTTAGACATACTGGTGACAAGTACAGGTTTGTTTGTTTGTTGTTTAACGCCGCACTCAGCAATATTCCAGCTATATGACGGCGGTCTGTTAATAATCGAATCTGGACCAGACAATCTAGTGATTGGCATCATGAGCATCGTCCCATTCAATTGGGATACGATGACATGCATCAACCAAGTCAGCGAGCCTGGCCACCCGATCCCGTTAGTCGCCGGATGTATTTTGCATAGTTCACGGTTGATATACCTAAAATGGATAGTCGCCTTTTACGGCAAGCATGGGTTGCTGAAGACCAATTCTACCCCGATCTTCACGGGTCGGCAAGTATAGGTGAACAAACATACCGGAATACAATGACGTATTTATTGAACAGTAGTTGTGCAATTATGAGTTTTGTTATTTTCGAATTTCTTATAAACGGATGACTTCATTGATCACTGTCAAAATATGCCCCTGCGAAAAATAAGATGAAAGACATTAACACATAAATAATATGCGAAAGAGTTACATCATCTACCTTGGCTAAGCCATACAGCAACAACTCCAGGATTTCGAAGATCTGACTTTAGGGCCAGTGTGTATCGACGGCGCCATGAACGTTTTTCCGCAAACCGCATTCGAGAGATCGATGGATATGGCAGTGAGAGCGTAATGATACGGGCGGTATTCTCCCACGCTGATAGAACAAGCACAAGACATCTTTACGTGTTAATCCAATGAACATAGTCATTAAATCTAGAACACTCTCTCTACTACCACCAAGTCCCTGTGGTACTCGGCACATTAAAACCCATGACTCCCTTCCAATTCTCCAATCGAGAGTATCCTGACTGACGTAAGCAATGAATCATTTCGAGTCGTCTAGCGATCTAGAAACATGATTATTGCGCTGACAGTATTGATGTCCTTGAGGAATAACACTTCTCCTAATTTGCAGATGTTATAGGTGGGAGAGTTGTCACTGCCATTCTCATCATCAGATTTGACAGTCGGTGTATTTTCAATCAGGAAAAAAGCTTTTGTCAGAGCTGCACAAATATCATAAGTGCAACAAACTGTGCCACGAAAACACTACTGAGCACGAGGAACAGACACGTGCCATAGTAACACCACTGAGCAGAAGACAGCTATGAACCATGGTACCACTATGAGAATTAGGCACAACTATGTCCCATCGTAATAGATTGACCAGGAGCAGAGCTCTACTCCATCGTAACACAGATGGGCACGAGGCACAGCTATTCGTTATGCTGTCCCTCTTGTGTTACGCCTCTGATTCAAAACTCTCCCTTCCCATGTTGAACAGAGCCGAGATTCCTAACTCTAAGTTGGGTTTTTCGACATTTACGTATTCAGTGAGCGAAATGGGTAGGTAACCCATTTCATTTCTACAGTTTTTGAAAACAGCTCGACCTGCGTTTCTTGTTGCTACTTGTAACAAAACATCCTTCCTTTTGACAGATAAGTACACAGCATCCCCCCGATTTTCCCCGGTGGCAACGAAGTAGGAAATTCCAAGTCGTTCAAGTTCCTTTCTGAACATTTCATTTTCAGAATTTGATATTGTTTGTTTGAACTGTTTTACAATTTGAGAGGGGAGCAAATAGAAAGATGGCGACATCAGCGAATTAGGCACAAAACCAACATGTCCATGAGCATTTTTACACTTGTACATATTACCATGAGTGGGTTCATCGTGTAACATTTCCAACACGTCTCCTTCTTCAACGTTAAGTTCATCCTCATTGTCAGTCAGCCGTGACTCTCTCGCCTCGTACACGAATCCCCCCTTCACGCGTATGTTGAGGGCATGCAGCAATGTAGCCTGTGGTTTGGTCACCCGCTTCAAGGAATACTGTACATTCACGGTATCCTCAGCTCCTACTAACACAGCATCCTCCATCTGTTGATCGTCTAGGTCGGTACTGCTCTCAGTGGTCAGGCTGACAGGGCTGCTACTCTGATAAATGAGATAAGTGGTCAGTACATGCGGGGACGTTTACAGTTTGTTCTACAAAAAATGTAATATCTCAGCTCCCATGGGTTTACTTGTTGACTTTAGAAGTCAGGCTTTACTTTGAGCGTTGTTTAAGTCCACATTAAAAGAGTAGCGAGTGAGGATGCAACATTATTGCAGTTATATCAAGGTGCGTCACTTCGATGCAGGTCGTAGAAGTTTGCCTTTTTCGTGCAGCCCACAGGTGAAATGAACCGATGTTTATCCGAATGCATTGGGTAAAGGGAAGTTACTCGTTTCGTCTGACACGGGTTTTGCTAACTCGGAGAAACTGGGAACAAAATTATATTCCGGACCTGTTTGAATGAATGTTGGGGAGAAAAATTCGTTGTCGACCGATCTCTCGGGGCATATGATGTGATGTGCCCTGTGTGTGAGACTTTGTACCCTCGCCTAACGGATCGGGGTACATGGGATCACGCACGGGGTACATCACACTATATACCCCTCGAAATCCGTTGAGTTCAGAGCGCTTGGGACATGTTACAATTCAACCGTGTCATGACTCTGTAGACTTTGATTGAAGTGATATGTGGAATAGTTACACGTGAATGAATCACTTACCCCAACTGATGAGAATACTCACTTGGGTTGTTGCTTTCCGCAGCTGGGTGTCGTCCAGGGCCTGGCATCTGTGCCAGATCTGTAATACATGCATCAAACATCAGAACCCAGGATCTAGAGAACCATTGGAAGTTGTGGTGAGTTGAAATGGGGTTACACGTCGCGTTCAAGATTATTGCACTTTTTAGCAAGATTATTGCACTTATATGGCGTGCGTGCGTCCTTGCCTGTGCCGACCAGTCATTGTTTTATCCCCCATTTATACTGACACACAACAGAACAGCAACATACAAATAATAATGATTTATTTATTTTGGGCTGGGGGATTCCCATTACTTATGTAATACAGCAAACCACTTGACCCCATCCTGAGGGGAAACGCCCTGCAGTGTCAAGTGCTGAGATGACCAGGCCTAGTGGTGAAAATACTAACATTTTGGGGCCATGAATATCCGCAACTACCGGCGGATACTGGGGGATTCCCATTACTTATGTAATACAGCAAACCACTTGACCCCATCCTGAGGGGAAACGCCCTGCAGTGTCAAGTGCTGAGATGACCAGGCCTAGTGGTGAAAATACTAACATTTTGGGGCCATGAATATCCGCAACTACCGGCGGATACTCTGCCACAGATTATAGCTGGGAAGGGAAACGCCTTCAACAATAGATTACAATGACATAGCTGCAAAGGGAAACGCCTTCAACAGTGATTACAGATTACATAGCTGCGAAGGGAAACGCCTTCAACAGTGGATTACAGATGTAGCTGAGAAGGGAAACGCCTTCAACAGTAGATTACAGATGTAGCTGAGAAGGGAAACGCCTTCAACAGTGGATTACAGATAAAATAGCTGCGAAGGGAAACGCTTACAACAGTGGATTACAGATAAAGCTGTGAAGGGAAACGCCTGCCACAGTGAATTACAGATAAGGCTGTGAAGGGAAACGCCTTCAACGGTGGATTACAGATAAAGCTGTGAAGGGAAACGCCTTCAACCGTGGATTAACGATAACATAGCTGCGAAGGGAAACGCCTTCGACAGTGGATTATAGATTATGGCTGTGAAGGGAAACGCCTTCAACAGTAGATTACAGATTATAGCTGCAAAGGGAAAACGCCTTCAACAGTGGATTACAGATAAAACTGGAGGGAAACGCCTCGACAGTAGATTACCTATAACAGCTGCGAAGGGAAAATGCATTACATGGTGATTTGAAAATACATAACTATGGAGGGAAACTCCTTGACAGTGTATTATAGTACCCAAGCGCTGGGCAAAAGAGGTTAGCATGACAAATATTAAATAAGAATAAGAAGTTACATGGGTGAATGTTAATGGATATAAGCACATGGACAGAGTGTTTAAGTAATTGATGAGATATATTATTAACTCTGATAATATATTAACACAAGAATGGGAATCCCCAGTATAAAGCCTTATACATGCATGTTTAATAGTTGTTATACTAAGTAGACAAGATCTGATTACCACAGAACTGGTGGAGCAGGGGATGGAGGTGGGTGTCAACAGAAACAATGGCGATTGTGCACGAAAACCACTAAGGAACCTGCGCATCACAATGCGCAGATGAGGTGTGCAGTGCGAGTTACTGCCCTTACATTCTAAAAATAACTACTATAGTCTAATTGCGTGACTCTGTAACTGTAAGAAACATACTTAACAATAAATAAAGACTAGATGCAGTGTATAAAAGACACATGCCTTCCTAAGGTACGTACTCATACATGTCATAGCAAATGTTGTGTGTCACCATAAACTCAACTCAAATTCCTGAGTACTAATTTATACTGACACACAACAGAACAGCAACATACAAATAATAATGATTTATTTATTTTGGGCTGGGGGATTCCCATTACTTATGTAATACAGCAAACCACTTGACCCCATCCTGAGGGGAAACGCCCTGCAGTGTCAAGTGCTGAGATGACCAGGCCTAGTGGTGAAAATACTAACATTTTGGGGCCATGAATATCCGCAACTACCGGCGGATACTCTGCCAAATGAACATGAAAGAATTAAGAAATATGCCTATGATTAATTTTTAAATGAGAATCCCCCCAAAACTAACTACACAGAAGTAAACTGGTCATAGTCGTACAAGGATGTAACAAATGTATGCCCTATAACCAAGGTGGTAACTATTTCTAACCTGTATCCAAGAGAACAAACAACAAACATAAGAATATGTAGTGAACTAACATGTGTATTGGAGTCAAGAAATATGCTAAATAATCATGATAATACATTACACTTGAAGAAAAGGTTTACAGATGAATTTAACATGAATATATACACTGGGCGTTGTGGAGAAGGGTATTATGGCCAATGTTAACAAAGAAAAGGCCATATCTTTTTGAGCCCGCCACAAAACATCTTGAGGTGTACGTATATATCTGGTGTAACAAGAAGATGACCACCGACCAAGGACTTGTATGAGGTGATCTGGTACTTTAGCACTGGCTGCTGATGTAGCGGCTCCTATTCGAAAGGAATGACCATTGTAGGCATTGTCATCATAACCACACAGTCTTAATAGTTTCTTCAGTTGCACGATGAAATATGTCCTGCATAATACCTTGCCATCTACCGTAACAAATAAAGGATCAGCACTATGCACGGCATAGCGATGGCGTTGAACGAGGTAGGCTTGCATACTAGCTACAGGGCATACACAATTGCCCGTGGCTGTATAGGTGATGGTTACTCCTTTCCGGAATGGATCTGTCTTTGACGCTGCCGACAGCAAGGTGAATGAAGCCGAGATCTTGGAGAATTGCACAGCTCTAAGGGTAAGATTGTAAACTGGATTAAAGTTGTCAGTGTCACAAGCAAATTCTCCGCAACGGAGAAAGCCGAAGAACGCCAGACAACACACTGCTTTCAATAGTCCACAGGTGTAGGGATCAAAAACACCATGATTTAGAGCCATAACAATCTTAGCTAAGATAGGAGTTGTTATTGGCAAGCGGGGTGATGTGGACAGCCCTTGATGTCTTTTTACCCCCTGCACAATAGTTTGCAACCGAATTAAAGAACCGGATGTCCAAGGGTTAGGTAAACCTACTTGTAAATACCTAAACCGAATGCCACACAGGTATGATTTAATGGTAGAATATCGTAGCAACATTCTACGGTAACAGTGAGCCACAAATCTAATGAGAATGTCTTCCGAGATAGGAGGTAAAGTAGTAGTCCACACGAACCCCTGCATAGTCATGAAGGTGAGAAATGCGTTAACTCCTGATTGGTAGACCTGATATGTTCTGGTAGACACAGCTGATGACCACAAAAGTTCGATGTCTGCCTCGATATTTCCTCCATGGGTTACGGGTACATCAGGTCTGTCAGCTGAGGACACGGGGTTGGGTGACACTCTGCATCTGGTGCTAGGTGACGAAATCTGGCTATCTGCAATCGTGAGAGAGCATCACTTATAGCATTATCCACACCAGGAACATGTTTAGCACAAAACACATAATTCCATTGAATAGCATGTAAGGTTAATTGTCTCATAAAACGCATGATAAGAGGGATAGGGGATCTGCCTTTGTTGATGATAGCAACAGTGGCCTGGTTGTCACAGTAGAAACACACACACTTATTTGACCACAAGGGTCCCCATAAATGGGCAGCTGTCACAATGGGAAATAACTCCAAGAGTGCTATTGACAAGTTTACTCCTGCCAAACTAAACAGTTCTGTGGACCAGGTGGATGAAAACCATCTGCCTTGGAAGAAACCCCCATATCCAAGAGATGCTGCCGCGTCTGTGTACAACTGAAAATCAGGTGAGTTGATAGTGTCTGTAATAAACATGGAGACACCATTCCAATTTTGAAGAAAGTAGCGCCACATTTGGAAATCCAGCAGGCAGTCAGCTGAGAGATGCACAATGTCCCGTAGGTTGGAAACCGAGTGAGCTACCCCTAATAGGTATCCAATAAAACTTCTGCCTGGTCTAATGATGCGCATGGCAAAGTTCATGTGTCCCAGAATCACTAAGAGATCCCTCTTAGTCACATGGGTTTTCTTGATTATATGGTCGATCAAGGTGACAATTCTCTGCACTTTCTCCGTAGGCAGGCGGGCCTCCATCCGAGAAGAATCCAGGGTGATGCCAAGATATTCTAGGCATTCCGAAGGACCAGCTGTCTTAGCTTTAGATAAGGGAATGTCCAAGTCATGAAACATAGTGAGCATATTGTTCATAATAGTCTGTCCAAGAGAATGGTCTTTGGCGAAACATATGAAGTCATCCAACAGATGAAGAATGAGTGGTATCTGGTAACAGTTTTGGGCTGTCCAGCATATGGCTATGGACAACTGATCAAATATTTTTGGACTGGACCTACATCCAAACACTAGTCTAGTGAAGTAGTAAAACTGTTGGCGCCATTTAATACCGTGAAGATGCCACAGGTCAGGGTGGATGGGTATAAGTTTAAAAGCATCTGTGATGTCAGTTTTACACATAACAGATCCTGGCCCAAGTTGTTTGATGACATTGATGGCATCATCCACTGTCACATATGACAAGGAATACTTGTCCTTGTCGATCAAGGAATTGAGGCTGGGATTCACACAATCGTCGTGAGGAGCCGACATATCCACAATCAGTCTCTGCTTTCTGGAATACTTCCCTTCGACCAGTCCAATGGGGTTGATGCGGTGAATTGGGAAGGGTGATATATCAAACGGACCAATGAGATAGCCCCTGTCTCGTTCCTGTTGCAGAAGAGTGTCGACAGCTGCCGACTTCTTGCGTCCTCTGGTGGATAACAAATTCTTGCACTCATATGTCCTAGTAGGGGGGGTGATCTATGCCTGTAAAATACCCATCTGATATCCCCGAAACCAGTTCTTGCACGAAATGTTTATCGGGATGTTTTCCCAGTTGTTGCTGTAACACGTCTACCTTAATTGGAGATATGACTGCATTAAGGGGTAGTCACTTGGAACGTGTTGATTTGTCTGATGTCTTCGAACACTTCTTGATTGCATGATTCTTCTGACATCCAGCACAGACATGAGCAAATCTACAGTTCGGACGTACACACGATTCGTAGTTGAAATTATTGCACACTGGACGTCCTTCATGAAACACAATTTGACGACCTTGAGCATCTTGGTTTCGAGGTCGGGCTTGGCTACGATTGAACATATGTGGGAGATTCTTATCTCGTTTGTTGGCACTAGCCTGGTGGATGGCTAAAGGGCAGAATTCTGTGGGGTGGTTGATTCCATGACAGTGTTGACACCTATTGTTCTTGTCAGAATTGAAAACTCTTAGGTATAACTCTTGATCCAACTTGCTCCAATCTACTTTGACATTGGACTGCAGAAGAGCTGAAGCGGCTTTGGCTGAAAACATCTTATGGTAGGTGTAGAAATCACTTTCCTCACCTTCGTTGCTAAGGCCCAAAATAAGATCAAGATATCTGTCCAATTCTACACTTCTCTGAGGCCATCGGGTCAACATAATTCTCTTGTAGCGATTGAAAGCAGTGATGAAGTGTTTGAGACTGAGGGTTTTCTGTAGTCTGGGATCTCCGGCTGGTTTTAGTCGTAATTCACCATTCCCCAGTTCAATTGTACGAGGGTTAGTGGGTATATCATCTGGAACTAGTAGCAGTGCTAGGTTGACATCTCTACCTTCCACTATGTGCTGACGTAAACTCGCAGACACTGTATCTATACGGGGAAGGGAATTAGGGTCTAAGCCAAAATTACCTGTAACATGATGGGTAGTGCTTGAGGCTGTGTTGTCATAAACAGTATCGAGGGTGAAGGGACGTGAGGTGGAGAAGCCTGGTGGCCCTTGACCCTGTTGAAGTCTGTCATGTAAGGCAGTCTGCAGAGAAAACTGGCTGTCTATGATATTTGGAGGCACAGTGAGATTGGCATGGTTATTGGTGGTTGAATTGACCTTCTCTGCTAGTGCAGCCACTGTTGCCACCAGTTGATTGACTGTCATGGATAAACCTTGAAGGTCGGTCACACACGAGTTGGGCCCATTGTGGTCATCTGAGGTAATGGTGGCACTGGAGGAGACAGTCCTACTAGGCAAGTGAGTCCTGTGCACCTCAGTGGCATCCGATGATTCAGGCTCTCCTGACTGTCCCCGTGCCGACTCTGATGGGCGGTTGCGTAAATACAACGCCAGAAGTTGAGCCTTGGTGAGACTCGGGGGAAGATGTTGAATCCCGATGTCCCTGGCAATTCGTGCCCTCAGCTGGGACACATACCAGTTCCTGGGATCTCCGTCGTAAATCCCCGGATTTTCGTGGCGATACCTCGCACGGAAAGTCTCTGCGTCTACAGATTGTGCGCTGTCGATAGATGTTTGCTCGTGGTCGGAAGTAGCAGGGCCGCCATGTTGGATCGCAATGTCGTCCGTAGTGTGCGCCGATGACCTATTTCTGCTTCGATGTCTCTTTGGACGACGAGTAGCCATGGCGTGACGATCATTCGATGAAAATGATCTTTGACGAGAAAAGATCGTTCCAGCCGACTTACAGCAAACGAAACTGACGTAGTGAGTGTGTCAAGTCGATTAACGTAGCTTACGATGTCAACAGAAACAATGGCGATTGTGCACGAAAACCACTAAGGAACCTGCGCATCACAATGCGCAGATGAGGTGTGCAGTGCGAGTTACTGCCCTTACATTCTAAAAATAACTACTATAGTCTAATTGCGTGACTCTGTAACTGTAAGAAACATACTTAACAATAAATAAAGACTAGATGCAGTGTATAAAAGACACATGCCATCCTAAGGTACGTACTCATACATGTCATAGCAAATGTTGTGTGTCACCATAAACTCAACTCAAATTCCTGAGTACTAAATTGCCGATCGCCGAGCAGGAATACAACACGTATCATCTTTTGACGTCTTATGGTATGACGAGGCCGGGGATCGAACCACCAACCATCCGCTTTCCAGGAGCGCTCTATCCACTACACTACGGAGGAGGTCCAAAGAATATTACACCCTTATATATGCATGCTTCATATGCTGGGTATGATATTGCTCTGATATTAAAACAGCGCTGTACAAAGCGATGTTATAGCAATCTTCTTCTTGAGAATACAATGACATTTTTGACTGAAATAACATCTAACAGTACACAACACTATCTGTCAGTATTGTCAAAGAATTCTTACACAGGATTCAACGCGTATGTGCAGCTATGTAACTTTCATTTTCACAACATCAATAGGATCGACATATGAATTTTCCCCAAATTAATAACATCGGTAGAACAGATCCGAATGTGATTAACGTAAACGTCGTGATTTCAAGACGTTAGAGCAGCTTTAATAACTTCTTTATTAAATGTGAACTTCAATGGAGAACGCACTACGTAAGTAATACACGCTTAATCTTGTAAACAAGTGTCATATCCTTTGCTACATGGCTATACATAATATAGATACGAGTCCATTGCTCAGTGTTTCTTGGTACGTAAGATTACATATAAAACCGTACTGACTCACAAATAATTAGTTCACACTACCCACACGTTCAATGAATATTCATCACGCAATGCTATCCAGAATCAAATGTGGCGGACACCTATAAGTACTGTGAATAAAACTGATATTATGCAAGATATAATTTGGTAGGTTAGGCGAATGATACAACAGTATATGTACCGGTGTGTGACTGATGGCAACAAAAGCAAAGAGCAAATACATTTTTTACGCAATATGTGTGACTTGTGTATTTGATGACTACTCGTTATTTGGCACCATACCTTGATCCTACGTCTGATGTTGTCAGGGATACGGAGAGTTGCTCTCAGCGTTGGTGGTTCTGACATCACTGACCTATTAGTTTTGCATAAGTCTGTAACACTGACATGTGCTACAACGATAAAAAGAATTACACCTGAGAGGGGTGTGCTACATACATAACAATGGCGTGAATTAAGATTTATAACTTTTAGGCCACACCTTTTAAATTATATGTTTCGCGGATTTATTCCAGCTTTTCCACACAAGATCGGTCAAGAAAAATTAAATAGCTATGCCTATCATTTATTTTTTTATTTATATGAAAATCATTCTGCTGTGGAGTTACTGCAGCTGGCTTCTTGAATCACCGATAGTGATGTAAACATGGAATTTATATAAGAAAATCTTTTTAGTGAGGTTCTATATTACTAGCGGGAGATATATTAAACATAAATTATGTATAACTGATTTCTTTTCCGGTTGCTCTTCAGTATGAGCGGCGGGCCCGTGAAACGAAAAATAAAAAAATGTGTGGCCTTAGATATATATGAAGAAAAATCACATCGTAAAATGTCTACTCACATCCATTAGTGCATATTTTGGCTGGCATCATCGGTGCTGGAACATAATATACGCTACAATTATCCACATTCCATGTAACATAGGGTTAAAGCGTTCGCTCGTCACGCCAAAGACTCGGGTTCGATTCCCGACATGGGTACAATGTGTGAAGCCCATTTCTGGTGTCCCTCGCCGTGATATTGCTTGAATATTGCTAAGAGCGGCGTAAAACCATACTCACTCACTCACTCACTCCATGAACCATATCAAAAGGCAAACGTAACTGTGATCGCCTTCTTCCTAAACATATTTACTTGACGCACCTCATTCCATGATTTTAAAAGACCTGATGTTTAATTAGGATAAAGACGCGGAAGTATTCTGAAGATGCCAATTTTTGTATTACTAAAAACATATCTACCTTAATTCAAACAAGTGTTTTCTTGCAGTTTTTATGTTCTGCACACAAGCTTTGGTGAGATGTCTGGTTATTGTTCCCAAAGCAGTTTGAAAGGAATAGACAATGTGAGGTGTTGGTTTCCTTTTGTCTCAGTACGCGTCAAACGGCGTTACAAAGCGTCTTGAGAAATGATTTATTATGTACAGGGAGGATTGTTAAATCAGTATCGCTTAAATGTCAAAATAAGTAATGGTATCAGTTTTCAAAATGCGTTTCCGTACATGTTCAAACTATTACACATTGTTATGATGCCATTATGAATAAATAAACCATGGTTAAGTCAGTGCGTGATGTTGTTTTAGGTAGAATGCACAAAGTGCAAAAGAGGATACAAAAATGGAACAAAACCCATTCTGCCCAGCATGAAAAGTTTGTAGTTGCTCCCACTGACAAGGCCTCAAAGTATCATAACCATTTTACGTACGCATCACATTTAGCCCCTCAACGCCGAGCGCCAGACAGGGTAACAACAAGTACCATCTTTTAACGTCTTTTGGTATGACGCGGCCGGGGATCGATCCCCGGACCTTCACCCCTCCGGGCGGACGCTCTACCACTAGACCACTCTTTATAGAGAGTATCTGTTTTCGTTTGTTTGTTTCATTTTGTTTAACGCCGCACTCAGCAATATTCCAGCTTTATGACGGCGGTCTGTAAATAATCCAGACTGGACCAGACAATCAATTGATTGACTTCATGAACATCGATCCACGCAATTGGGATACGATGACATTCATCAACCAAGTCAGCGAGCCTGACCACCCGATCCCGTTAGTGGCCTCTTGCGACAAGCATAGTCGCCTTTTACTGCAAGCATGGGTTGATGAAGACCTATTCTACCGCGGATCTTTACGGGTCAGAGAGTATCTGAGACAAGTGGAATTAATACCACGTGGGTTCTCAAAAACTCAAAGGATTTGCTTGCCATTTCACAATCTCAAAAAAGAACCGGATTCAATTGTGTCGAAACATTTGATTTTTCAAATTTGTACACCACTATCCCACATGACAAACTTAAGGGGAAATTTCATTCCTTGGGCCATGGGATTTTTTTTCACAAACCGTTGTGATCATACATACAGTTATCTATGTTCAGAGGTTCAGGTCAATTTGTCCAAAATGAAAGCAAATGCCATCTGACGTTTACTGAGAAAACACTATTGTGAAATGTTGGACATTGATATTATCTATGTAAAATTTGGGGGTAAGACATTTAGGCAAGAAGTAGGCATTCCCATGGGCGCCAATCAGAATTTCAGGCATTTCAGAATTTCTGCTTGAAATGGCAAATCAGAATATTAATAATCTGATATCGTTCAATAACCATCAAATAGCCAATTCCTTTCCACGTTATTACCCACCTGAACTTGAAATAAAGGAGACCAGTGAGACCGCCTCATCTGTTTCATACTTAGATCTATGCATAAAGATTCGGAGTGACAAAACCCTCCCCACAAGACTGTGTGACAAGAAGGGTGTGCAAATTTCCAATGGTAAACGTTCCTTTATGTCGAACTATCTTCCTGAAGCTCCAGCCCTTGGAGTCTACATTTCACAACTTTTGAGATACAACCGAGCATGCTCTTTCTACCAAGATTTCAAAGAGCGTCAAACGTCTCTTGCTCAGAAGGTGTATCATCATCACAACATTCCAGGCCTCAGTAAAGCTTTCAAAATGTTTTAAAGGGGAAGTGTACACGCAAAAATCACTTTCTTTCTTTTTCTAAACAAAACGCAATTTTAGAATTAATTAGTATTAGTATACACTCATTTTTTTCACAGTGAAAGTAGGAAGCTCACAATAGTGTGAAAATGATATGCCGTTATGAGGCCTTCGTTTTTCGAGCTAAACAGGCCTGAGTTATCCCCCTTAGATTATGACGTAATTGGTGCCAATTCAACTGGGTCCCTGTCTATTCTCAACGCAAAAGATATCAAGTACCAGTTTGCGGTAAAACAACATGGCCTACGACACACTCCGGCGCAGTGGTGACTCAGCATAACACTATGCTGGCTGGCATCTGAGACGCTAGAATCACACACCTAGACCTACACCACGTGAAGCGGCTCTAACAAAGCATGATGACGTCATAATGTTTATTAATTGGCACCAATGACGTCATATTGCAAGGGGCATAAGCCATGGTGTTTTTGTTGTGGAAATAGAACACTTGGTAAATGTGAAAAATATAAATCGTTTTAATGCGATAAATATGTTAATTAATTGTGATATTTTTATATTTTTGTCTATGACACTTCTAGGTTAACACTTTTAATGTGGAAAAAGTACAAAATAGGTTAATTTCCGTGTGAACTTGCCCTTTAAGGTAGACATGTGGAGGACATTTCCAAAATTGACGGATCAGTGACACAAATTATGTCCGATGCAATTCCCTATTTGGTACCATATCTTCTTGTGTTATTAGGTGAAGAATTGACTTGCCTTTGCATGTGTTTGTGACGGGTGCCATTGGTGGCACAGGATGCGCTCACCTTTTCGCGAACACCTGGCATCATCACTATTTGATAGTGATTCATGAACACGTGATCATGATATAGTAAATCGTAAATTGACTTTGGCAGATATTTCTTATAGAAAGGGCTTTGTCGCTTTTATTATCATATTATTTCATTACCATAACAAAGATTTTATATATGTTTGTGTGTTTTGCAGGACTCACGTGCATATACGTCCAATGCGGCATGATAATGCGCCACTCGTATTTCTCGCATTAATTTCATGCTCGCATTAACTTAATGATTTACATTACGTATTGAGGGCTGTGGGGTAGCCTAGTGATTAAAGCGTTCGCTCGTCACGCCGAATACCCAGGTTCGATTCCCCACATGGCACATGGGTACAATGTTTGAAGCCCATTTCTGGTGTCCCCTGTCGTGATATTGCTGGAATATTGCTAAAAGCGACGTAAAACCATACTCACTCACTCTCTCACATTACGCATTCGGGCTATACCTTAGTATTAGTTGAAACACTCACTGCACACTGACCAAACAATTCTCTAAAGGGAGATTTTTGCAGATTTCACTTCCGAATGTATACTGCATTGACGTAATTAGCGTAGTCAGTTCACTGATGAATGCGGGGAACCTTGACCTTTGATTATGACATCTGTACCAAGGTTTAAACTATTTGAAAAGACAGGGGACAACGAATAATGCCCAACACACTCTGAGCTTCCTATGTATATTGGTGTAAATAGTCAGCATGCTTGAGGGTAATAAAAGTTCATCTCAACCTGGACTGTTTGAAAATGCCACTACATAAAAACGTCAACGCCAGAGAATAAACAGTCAATTATGTGCTGAACAGATTCCATTGTACGTAGGACCGCCTCCGTGGTCTAGTGGTAGAGCGATCCCCGACCGCGTCATACCAAGAAACGTTAAAAGATGGTACTTGTTGTTACCCTGTCTGGCGCTCGGCATTAAGGGGCTAAAAGAAGGACTGGTCGGCTCGGAGTCAGTATACTGTGTCTGAGTGGGGTATTCATGTTAAACTGCGGCATGGTATCTCAGTGGGCTAGCACTATAAATCGGCTTCACTCCGGACTAGTACAAGCAGCCACACACACACACACACACACACACACACACACACACACACACACACACACACACACACGTGCATGCATGTCGCTATATAAGTGCAATAATCTTGGACGCGACGTTAACCCCATTTCACCTCACCTTTGGGCGTAAAAGGCAAAATAATTATGAAAACTATATGAATGGATCACCAGCTGTTAAAACAACAAGTGGCCTGGTTAGCATACTATTAAAAATAGTATGAACTAGTTATATATGATTTCAGTTAAAACCTTAAACATCTCATTGCCATGACTGTCTATTATGCCATCCAGAGAGGGTGTCTTGTTCATGAACTATTGATCGTCGGCTATTTTCCGCCCGCATCGTGTTTTCCCGCAAAAAGGAAGTAATTTGGTTATTTCGTATGATATAAATATAAAGCAAGGCTCCCATGTAGTGTTGGAATGAACCAATGAAATTACCTGGATAAGTATGATAAAATACCCCCGTGAAGATCCGGGTAAGAACTTGTGTTTAGCAACCCGTACTTGTAAGAGGCGACTGACGGGATTCCGTGGTCAGGCTCGCTGACTGGGTTCATGCATACACGTCATATTATCCTAAATGCGTTGAATGATGCTCATGATATTAATCCATGGATTGTATGGTCCAGATCGCCGCCATATAGCTGTAATATTGCTGAGTGAGGCGCTAAACAACAAACACATTAATTAGATAATGTTTTGGTGCGGTTTTTTCATAACCTTGCTCTATGCGAGTATGTATGTTCAATCGTGGTTAGCTTTCATTCATAGAGTTTGTTTGTTGTTTAACGCGGCACTCCAGCTATATGACGACGGTCTGTTAATAATCGACTCTGGACCAGACAATCCAGTGTTTGACATCATGAGCATCGATCCACGCAATGTTGATACATGTTGACATGCATCAACCAAGTTATCAGCCTGACCACCCGATCCCCTCAGTCGCCTCTTACGACAGGCATAGTCGCCTTTTACGGCAAGCACGGGTTGCTGAAGACCTGTTCTACCCCGGATCTTCACGGGTACGTAGCACAGAGTAACAGGATATGTCGTTTGTATACTGTGTGAACGGTATAGAGTAATACGTCTTGTGTATATTGTGTGAACGGTATAGAGTAATACGTCTTGTGTATATTGTGTAAACGGTATAGAGTAATACGTCTTGTGTATATTGTGTGAACGGTATAGAGTAATACGTCTTGTGTATATTGTGTGAACGGTATAGAGTAATACGTCTTGTGTATATTGTGTGAACGGTATAGAGTAATACGTCTTGTGTATATTGTGTGAACGATATAGAGTAATACGTCTTGTGTATATTGTGTGAACGGTATAGAGTAATACGTCTTGTGTATATTGTGTGAACGATATAGAGTAATACGTCTTGTGTATATTGTGTGAACGGTATAGAGTAATATGTCTTGTGTATATTGTGTGAACGGTATAGAGTTATACGTCTTGTGTATATTGTATGAACGGTATAGAGGAATACGTCTTGTGTATATTGTGTGAACGGTATAGAGTAGTACGTCTTGTGTATATTGTGTGAACGATATAGAGTAAAACGTCTTGTGTATATTGTATAGCATAGATTAGTAGGGTACGTATATATTTGATTTCCTGGCAATCTTTACTCAATTACTCAACACTGCTTAAATGTATCAATGCATAGGTCTAAATATGTTAATGTAATCTTATATCGATGTTCGAGTATTTTCACTGAGCAGCGAACTAACCTGGTGTACAGTGCGTGTTGTGTTAAAGGTAGGATGACTTACCCGGTTTCTTCAAATAGTCCATAAATATGTCCTTCCACCCGTCAGACTTTGTGTCAATGATCTGAAATGTCAACAGCTCTGACGGCACTCTACACTCGTCCACGTGGAGTGCCACTATGTTGTTTGTGTCGTGGTCAATGTCATACTGCACGGCCAGCTGAAGTTGATACATGGCATAATTCGACTTAAGAAAATTCTCAGATAGAATAAAGACGATTCTATCCGATGTGAAAATGAACATAGTCATTAAATCTAGAACCCTTTCTCCTACCACCAAGTCCCTGTGGTACTCGGCACATTTAAAGCCATGACTCCCTTCCAATTCATCAATGAGCTTTCTCGTCCAAATGGAATCGAGATTATCCTGACAGAAGTAGGCGTGGAACTGTTTCGAGTCGCTCAACGATCTAGGAACATGCTTACTGCCCTGACTGTCTTGATGTCCTGGATCCCTTCCTTGAGGAATAACACTGTCTCCTGATTTGCGGAGGTAGACTGTAAGAGTTGCCATTGCCACATCGGTAATGAAAACACTGTCAGAGAATGTCGTCTGCTCGGCGAATAGGTTTGCAATACTCGTCTTGGGCCCACCTGGGAAGTCAGTACTGGTAAACGTGGTAAAATCCACAAGCGTTGATCCATACAGAGTTGAGACTGTAAAATTCGTCCTTCGATGGTCTTGGAATCTGTCGAGTTTTTAGATATCCTGAACCCTCGTCATGTTCAAGTATCTGTTGAGCGGTGGCAGTCTTGTGCAATCTGACATCACGATCCGGATATTTATGTATTCACACGTCGTCTAATTTAAAACATCAAATTGCCCTGTAATTCACTCAAAAATCTATTAATAAAACACTTCCTTCGTCTACTCGTACAGGAGAATCACCGACACATGGTTGATCTACAAAGGGCATCATGCCTGGTGGGTGCAGGGCTGTGTCGCCTGACCGCGTGCATGGACTGGTAGGCCATTACACCTATAATGTGGAATCTGTAATATCGCTTATCACTGAATCTGATTGGTCAGTATTAACAAAACATGTTTGTAGCTAGCACTTGCGGTGAGAATTGTTTGGGCAACCAGGAAATGATTAAGGTCCACAGTTATACACTGTACCTCGATGCTCATTCAATACAGAAAGGGTTGTTATAAATAATAAACATTTCACTTCTAAAAAAATCAATTCATTCTAACTGTTAAACCCGGGAGACCATACAAAAAATTATATACATGTATAGGCTCCCTGGTTAAACGATTTTGGTTGTTTACGAATCTTCATGTCGGTGATGTGATGAAGACCGTTGTTCATTGCGTGACATGGTAACGATAGACTGGTTATCTGTCTTCATGTGACGTTCATCTGAGTGAGTGAGTGAGTGAGTACGCCGCTTTTGGCACTATTCCAGCAATATCACGGCGGGGGACACCAGAGACGGGTTTCACTCATTATACCCATGTGGAGAATCGAACTCGGGTCTTCGGCGAGACGAACGAAAGCTTTGAACCACTAGGCTACCCCACAGCCCCGACGTTCATCTGAAGCATTTGTCTACACATTCTTACCATGTAGTCCACAATTAATGAATACAATCCTTTTTGGCTCTAAACTCGTTAGTAATTTTCAATTTCGTATGGAAGCGAATTTCTGTTTATCAGCTTCAGCTTTGCCTCCAACACGTATTGTTCCATCGTCTTGGCTCCTACAACTACCTTTATGTTTTGGTTTCCTTGAATCTAAGGGCGGTCGGGTAGCCTAGTGGTTAAAGCGTTCGCTCGTCACGCCGAAAAACCCTGGTTCGATTCCCGACATGGGTACAATGTGTGAAGCCCATTTCTGGTGTCCCCCGCCGTGATGTTGCTGGAATATTGCTAAAAGCGGCGTAAAACCTACTCATTCATTCACTTGAATCTAAATATTGTATATTCAAGATCTCGCCTTTTTTAAAGAATTCAGACACCTGTTTTAATCCACCTGTACTGACTGTATCTCGAGAGTGGTGTGGTAGCCTAGTGGGTAAAGCGTTAGCTCCTTATGCCGAGCACACCGTGTTCGATTGCCCACATTGGTGCAATATGTGAATAACATTTCTTGTTTCCCCCAGCAGTGATGCTGCCGGTATATTGCTCAAAGCGGCGTTCAACTATACTCAATGAAATTTCATTCGGTTGAACGGAGTGAATTAGACTGAAATTGATTTCTCTTGAAAGTAAAGCCAGATATAAAGGGAGGTTATTCACGGTAGAGGGCGCAACCCTGAGGGGTATATATAGGAATTGTAAAGCCCGGGTAGTTCAATCTCTCCTGTGGTGTCGCCGTTACAGTGCGGTCTGTTTATTTTATGTTTATGTCCTGTGCACTGTGGTTATGAACATTTTCTGTTGTCAGGTGTTGGCAAGACAAATGTCGTCACAGTGACGAGTATGGCTCTGAACCACAAAGCATGGATGGTACCTGGTACATGCATGAATCTTACAGTAAGATGTTACAGTGTCGGTAACTGGCGTGGTTCTGAGATCATATGGATCAAGGCCAGTGATGCTACTGCTGTTTTTAAAAGAAAATTTCATTGCAGAGTAAATGCCTCGGCGTGTGCCGCAGGGGAAGCCAAAGCCACATTGTGTGTTTGTTGTTTATATCTGGCTTGACGAGGTTTTGGAAGAGAACTCAACTAAGAAAACTTTTGTTATGTGTCGTATGCATAATCATATCATTTGTATATAGAAAGTTTGATCCTTTGTACAGCTTAAACTTGACAAACCAGGCGTAATTAAGCAAATGACGACGCTTCGCAACAAACTAACTACACTGAGTGTAGGGTGGCGCCCTGCTATAGATTAAAACTCTTTTCTATCCAAATTGGTTTCTTTGAAAAATTAATATATACAATCTGTGAACATGTAAATACAGTCTCACTACTAGATGCTCATATCCCTTGTAGTGTGGAGTCTACAGGCTGTTGTATATATGACACAATGTAGAAATGTATTATTTTTTTTATTTTATGTGAAAACACAATCGATACCATGGTCTACTGGACTGGTCCAACAATACCTATTTTACGCAGAAACAATAATATGTAACATTGTGTTTAAATAGTCTATGCCTCAGGAACATATAGAACTAGAGGTCAAGGAATTATGCCCCCTCAATGTCCGCTTAGGAATCACATCACCTTTAACCAGTGACAAGGTAAAAACAACTGCGTAGACCTGAAGAGCGAGTTAATGTTCAGCTTTTTTCCTTCTTTGTTTGTTTTTAACGTCGCACTTAGCAATATTCCAGCTATATGACGGGGGTCTGTAAATAATCATGTCTAGACCAGACAATTCAGTGATTGGCATCATAAGCATCGATCCAGGCAATTGGGATACGATGACATGCATCAGCCAGTCAGCGAGCCTGACCACCCGATCCCGTTAGCCGCCTCTTACGTATTCTTTGAACCGCTATACTTAACATTGTCGTAAGAGGCGACTTAGGGGATCGGGTGGTCAGGCACGGCGGGGGACACCAGCAATGGGCTCCACACATTGTACCCATGTCGGGAATCGAACCTGGGTCTTCGGCGTGACGAGCAAACGCTTTAACCACAAGGCTACCCGACCACCCCTTGTTACACAGAGGACCAAGACAAATGGCTTGCCTCTGATGCATAACCCTCACTACCAATGGAAATGTTGGACAGATCCGATACTCGAGATTCTAAAGGAGGCTTCGGGACATTTACACAATCCACAAGCGACACAGGCAGGTACCCTGTTTCATTTCGACAGTTTTTGAAAATAGCAAGACCTTTGTTTGGTATTTTTAGTTGAAGCAGGACATCACCATTTTTAACAGATAAGTTGATAATATCTCCACGTGTTTTTTCGACGCAGCTCCTGGCAACGAAGTAGGAAATTCCAAGTTGTTCAAGTTCCTTTCTGAACCCTTCATTTTCAGAAGGTGATATTGTTTGTTTAAACTGTTTTACAATTTGAGAGGGGAGCAAATAGAAAGATGGCGACATCAGCGATGTAGGCACAAAACCAACATGTCCTTGAGCATTTTTACACTTGTACATATTACCATGAGTGGGTTCATCGTGTAACATTTCTAACACGTCTCCTTCTTGAATGTTCAGTTCACCCCCATTGTCTGTCAGCCGTGACTCTCTCGCCTCGTACACGAATTTATCCTTCTCGCGTATGTTGAGGGCATGCAACAATGTAGCCTGTGATTTGGTCACCTGATCTGCATGGTACTCAACAGCGAGCCTATCGTCAGCTTCCAGTGAGTTAGGCCCGTCTGTTGATGGAACCGAAGATAGGTCCGAAGTCGGAACCGGCTGAATTCTTCTGTGAGAAGACTGAAAAACAAGATATATGGTGTCAGCATTGTAACATATCAACATCTGTACAGTATCAGGTCCCACTTGCACAAAGCGATCTTAGCGCTACAACTATTGTAAGCCTATGTTAAAGTATGGAAGTTAAGATCATCTTAGCGCTAAGATCGCTTTGTGCAAGTGGGCCCAGGTCAAGACATAGACTCCCTGGCTGTATTTACAAACCATTGGTAGCACAACAAACGACTGTCGCAATTCCCATATTATAGTTACAAAATGTTAACTTTGACCAAGAGGATCAACATGGCGCAAAGCAATGTTGTAGCATGGCTACCTAGCTATTGATGTAAGTACATATATGGTCATAAGGCTCTCATGTTGAATCAAGAACGTAAAACAGATTGTAATTTGCTTGTGGTTCCTTCAAATAAATGGCACATTTCAGTTTAAATATTTATGTAACACGAAAGTAGAAAACAAACATATTATGAAACCAAACTAGTAATATGTGTTCCTGAAACATTTGTTATTGTTTTGCAAGGAACAAGGGACATAAAGTTGGCATAATCATAGTGTTATACATGATACTGTCAGCATTGGTATATTAACAGTGGTAAAGTTATTGATATTTTTTTCATAATTAATCTGTTCAGAGTAAGTAATATTATTTCTTAATAAAGTAGAAGACTGATACAGATATTGTTAGAATTGAAACCCACTAACCATACTTCTCTATGATAGTTACCTCCCTAATGGTAATACGTTTACTCCTGTAGCCTGACAGGTGAATAATTATTATTCACGTTGTCTAAAAGTGCTAATATCTCGCTACATGGAAACTGGGTCAACGTTTCCGGCATAGCATATGCTATAGGCCTGTCCCCACCCTCTCGACAGGCATACTTCGCTACACGGAAATGGGTCAACATTTCCCGCATAGCGATATACTGTATACCTGTCCCTGTCCCTCTCGACAGATCAGCCCCCTTCACGGATTTAGGTCAAAGATGCACTGGAGCGGAATGCTGTATGGGGAAATAGGTCGGAAAGAGGTAGACTGGTACCCTGTCCTTCGCCTCCTAGCGGCTGCAGGCGAGGAGCGCAAGCGCTCTAGGGCAAGTTAACCCGTCTAGGACAGAGCGTGCCGAATAACATTAACACTTCTAACTAGATTGTATACATATCTTATTAAAATGGTGCGTCTTCAAAGTGGTTGCGTCAACGTTATGGAGGAATATTTCAGTGTCGCCCTTCCGTGTGTTATAGGGAAAGGTTTTAGGTACATAGGGATCGGGTGGTCAGGCTCGCTGACTTGGTTGAAGCATGTCATCGATCCCAATTGCGTGGATCGATGCTCATGATGTCAATCACTGGATCCAGACTCGATTATTTACAGACCGCCGTCATATAGCTGGAATATTGCTGAGTGCGGCGGTAAACAACAAACAAAAGTTAGTCACCTCTTACGACAAGCATGGGTTGCTGAAAACCTTTTCTACCCCTGATCTTCACAGGTCGTTATGTTATGAGATTGGCTTGATATCACGGTCCTCTTTTGAAGCCGGTTTTTCCCAGTATACCGACATGTGCGTGTGATTATTATTCATTTGCAGCGATACCTATATTTTAACAAAACATAACACTGTCGTTACTGCTGGTATTTTCAGAACATTCCTGATTTTCATTGATATCACGATAAAACTCACTTCTAATAATACTGCTTTTCTGAGGTGATTGTCATCCAGAAATTTACTCTTGTGCCATATCTGTAATAAAACAGAATACAGATACATTCTGCACCAGCAGCTGGACAAAGCAACAATTGAAACATCCCGCACAAACTTATGGCATATAGTGAGTGAGTGTGGTTTTACGCCGCTTTTAGCAATATTCCAGCAATATCACGACAGGGGACACCAGAAATGGGCTTCACACATTATAGTAGGGAATCGAACTCGGGTCTTCGGCGTGACGAGAGAACGCTTTAACCACAAGGCTACCCCAACGCCCCTTATGCCATATAGTCGTGCAATACATGTCTATATAACAATATAACAGTACCCGTGATACGATACTTCATCAACACACAATTCAGCATGTTTGTGTCAGAAAAACACGCACAAGCACACACGCTCGTATGAAGGAGATACAAGCATATGGCGGTTTTATAAGCCATTCTTGCATCAGATGTATAGTATGTGATGTATATCGCATAGTAACACAATGTTGAGCTATTGTTCAAGGTTGATGGTCGAAGAAAAGTTGATGTATATCAAAAAGTTATTTCACATGGTTGATCTATATCACATGGTGGTGTATTTCACATGGTTGCTGTATATCAAATGGTTGATGTATTTCACATGGTTGATGTCAGGAGATGGTAGATGTATATCACATGGTTTATTTAAGGAAATGGTTGATGCATTTCACATGGTTGATGTATATCACATGGTTGATGTATATCACATGGTGGATGTGTTTCACATGGTTGATGCATTTCATATGGTTGATGTTAGGAAATGGTTGATGCATATCATATGGTTGATGCATTTCAAATGCTTGATGTTAGCACTTGGTTGATGGATATCAAATGATAAGTGAATGGTGTTTTTTGTTTTGTTTGTTTGTTGTTTAACGCCGCACACAGCAATATTCCAGTCTGCAAATAATCCAGTCTGGACTAGACAATCCAGCAATTGACATCATGAGCATCGATCCACGCATTTGGGATCGATGACATGCACCAACCAAGTCAGCGAGGCTGACCACCCGATCCCGTTAGTCGCCGGATGTATTTTGCATAGTTGACGGTTGATATACCTAAAATATATGGTTGAAATATAGCGCATGGCTGTGTATAGTATAAGTTCTTTTTGACGACATACCTTTATCTGCATCCTGATATATTCTGGGATTTGTAAGGTTGGCCTGAGTGTGGGCGGGTCGGACATCACTGATCTCTGGGTCCTGCACAGGTCCTGCACACTCACATGTGCTTGAAACACAATCATCAAGGATAAACAGAAGAACACGTTTTGATATTCATAGAAAACATGCGGGTGTATTGAAGAAGAAGAAAAAAACATTGATTATTAACTGGTCCTTCCCATACAACAAGAGAGTTGTAGTATAAGTTCTCGATAAGGTTAATGGAAGAGCACGTTTTTGATGTTCAAAGAAAACATACTGCATGTATTGAAGAAACTGTGTGAATATTAGCTGGTCGCTCCCATATAACTGACTCCTCATCACGAGAGTTGCGGTGTCAGGTCTCAGTATTTACAATTTAATTCATTTAGATATTGTATATGATAAAGGACTATTAAAAAAGTATACTCACTTCCGTTCGTGCATATTTCGTTTGGCATCTGCGGTGCTAGAAAAGATATACATGTCTTAATTTGCTGATGATATGCATTGAATATATAGCTCATCTACATGCCTTGTTCACATCGTTATTGCCACGTATTTACAAGCGCGGACACAGGTTCTAACAGTAGGGCGTTTACAAAGATCCACCTATTATTCCAGATTTTTACAAAATTAAGTTTTGCTGCAAAAGTGCAAAAACTTGTCCCATGGCGAAGTTCGCTAGTGTTCCATTTCACGACATCGCCTCGTACGTGTCGCACAGTTTTGAAAGTAGATAGTTCAGCAATTCTACTCGTTATCACAACCAATTTCATGACCGGTCAGTGCCCTGGGTCATGTGACCACTGACCACTGACCACTGACCACTGCTAGGAGTGTCCTTGTCTCCTGGGGTTGAGAACTGACTATAAAAGTCCAGTTTCGATTACCCCAGAAGATTGATTAGACATAAGTGATATAAGGGATGTGGTACATTGCTGTTTAAGGTATTTAGCAGGTACAAAACGTTTTCGGATATCTTGGTAAAACTCACAGATAAAAAGTACATGAAATTCGTCCTCAACACCCATATCACATAATGGACACAAACGCATAGATTTTAACGTATTTTGTCTTCTTCCGGTATTAACTCTTATATCACTCAGTCCCATACGAAAACGCAAGAATGTTGAACGAAGATTTAAATTACAAAGAACACTTAAATATTTTTCAGGCTCCAGTAAGGATTTGAATGATCTATACACATCATATCTGCTACTTGCATTTAAATTAGACATCCATGTTTGATAAAAGGTATTTACAATTCTTTCTTTGAACATATTTACAAACATACAGGTGTTACCAACTCCTTGATAAATCCAAGCATAGCCAAAGCCATTTGAGAACAAAAGTCCCCGAATATTTGATGCCCAAGTGTTGTAACCCAGATTATCATAGTTGTATAACATAGTGTAAGCTTTCCTTGGCAGTCGCTGTTTGTGCATAGTAAGTATTTTTAGCCAATATCTGATACAACGAATATATGAATTAACGTACAAAGGATATCTACCGCACTCTCCGTAAACAATATTATTAGGGGAGTTGACACCAATCATTAAAAAAAAATTACAAGCAAGAAGATGTACTTTTTCGATTGTATTAAAATGTTTAAAACCCCATAATTCAGAGTCATACAAAAGTATTGGTTGTATCTGTGTGTCAAACATTTTAAAGAATATACTTGGGGATAAAGGCTGGAGTTTAGATAAAGTTGACAATAACATGACCATGGCTTTTTTACCCTTTACAGATAAATCCTTAACAAGATTACCCATACTTAAAGTGTTGGTAAACAGAACACCTAGGTATTTATACTTACTAACAACTTTAACTCTCGAACCCTTATATAACCATTTTTCGACTGAAGCTAATGGGCCACCTCTTCTAAAAACGACTATGTTTGTCTTTTCTAAGTTTACAGCTAACTTCCAATCATCAGCGTAATCATTCAAAATGTTTAATTGGTTCTGAAGACCCGAGGCTGAATGTGATATAAGAATAACATCATCAGCAAACAATAATAAGAACAATTCTAAAATATCCGGACATAATTGGACCCCGTGTTTGCCACTATTCATTATTTCTTTACACAATTCGTTAATAAAGAATGGAAATAGAATGGGACTTAATACGCATCCTTGTTTCAAGCCAAGCGGACAATCAAAAAAGTCAGTGAAATCACCTTTACAGCGCACACACGCCCTGACATTAGAGTACATACTTTTAAGAATCAGGTACATTTTGCCCCGTAATCCAGCTCTTTTAAGGCACACCCACAGTTTATGACAATTCACAGAATCAAAAGCCTTCCGGAAATCAACAAAAGCTACATACAGTTCTCTCCCACGTTTCATCAAATATTTTTCTATAATTGCATTTAATGTAAACAATTGATCTGTAGTCGAATAGTGTTTTCTAAACCCGGCCTGATATTCTGGAATTCTATCCCTCATATTGGCCCATAACGTTAGTCTGTTGTTTAATATACTCGAAAATACTTTCCCCGAAATATTGTTTAATGTTATACCTCTATAATTATCTGCATTGCTAGCATCTCCTTTCTTATGAATAGGTATAACAATGCCCTTCGTCCACGAACTTGGAAATACGCCTGAACGAAAAATCATATTAAACAATTCTGTAAGATAGGGCAAAATTATCTCCCTTGATGATTGCAGCATTTCAGCAAGAATATTATCCAATCCCAAGGATTTGCGTTTTTTAAGTGACTGAATTGCTGTCAGTATCTCATGACGTTGAATATCAGATTCAAGGTTTTTCCCGATCTATTTCAGAAAAGAAATCATCTTCATTTATAGGATCATATATGTCATCAAAAAGCGTATGATCAAATACGTCATTTGTTGAAAATACTTCTTTAAAATGAATTGCCCATTCAGCTTTTGAAATGCTACAAGCAGGGATGTTTCTCATGTTAATGGGTCGAACCTCTTTCCAAAATTTCTTAGCATAACCCATTGCATTACATAGCTGTCCAATTCTATTGTGTCGTATCTTGTTCTTATATAACCTGATTTCGTACTTATATCGATTTCTTAAGGAACAGTAACTCTTTCTGTTATCAGCAGACTTGTTACTTCTAAATTTCCGTAGTGTTCGCCTCGTAGCACGTTTTGCCTGCATACATTCAATGCTATAACGTCTGTTAATCATGTAGCCATTCTTAGAGCATAAGGCTTTCTTCATGCAGCTGGCGGAATTCAGTAAATAGTCTACGAAGCTAGACAAAGGCCTATCTATATCAACATGTAGAAGTTCTATTAATTCAGTCAGATTAAGACAGCTCTTAAGATTATCCAAGTGTTTGCTATGTGACCCTGTAGATATGGTTCAATAATGCTTATCATGTCATGGCTTACATGAAGTCATTATCAGAATATTGGAAAACATTTTCTGACTACAACGAAAATGAAAATTATGATGACAGGGTTTCACGTGTACACAGCTAGTTTGCATTTTACGCTAAATGGAATGTGTTTCGGTGGATAATTGAGACTGATTGTTCTCTGGCGTTGACGTTATATATTTACACGTTTGTCCAACTATTTGCGCTTATGAAATCATGCATCATGTGATAATATTAATATAAAGTGATTACAGCAGCAGATGTAAGGAATATCTGTCTGAACAACTTTGTACACAAGCTTGGTATGTTGTCACTATTGCAGGAATTGATACGCACATTTGAAAGTTAGTTTGACGACATCCTTTTCTTAGAATTAGAGTGGCAGTGAGGGAATATAAAGCCATCTGTTGTAGTGGATCCGCGAAATAGTGACAATTTTTAAACACTTTCAGAGTTTGAAAACGCAACAGGTAGACACCGACGTAGGTCCAACGTGACTCAGTACATTGATGCATGATAATAGAGTATATTAAGTGTAAGGGGGGTAGATGTAGCGTTGTCACCGGTCTTCGTGGTTGTTTTTAAGTGTTGATAGGAGTATTGTACCGTGTCTGCCTGTACAATGATTGTATATATATAATACAGTTAATAACTGGCAGTCCTACACATAACGATAGATAATAACGTATGGTATGAACCATCTTGTTTCTGACTTACTCGGTTTCTTCAAATAGTCCATAAATATGTCCTTCCACCCACGAGACTTTGTGTCAATGATCTGAAATGTCAACAGCTCTGACGGCACTCTACACTCGTCCACGTGGAGTGCCACTATGTTGTTTGTGTCGTGGTCAATGTCATACTGCACGGCCAGCTGAAGTTGATACATGGCATAATTCGACTTGAGAAAATTCTCAGATAGAATAAAGACGATTCTATCCGATGTGAAAATGAACATAGTCATTAAATCTAAAACCCTTTCTCCTACCACCAAGTCCCTGTGATACTCGGCACATTTAAAGCCATGACTCCCTTCCAATTCATCAATGAGCTTTCTCGTCCAAATGGAATCGAGATTATCCTGACAGAAGTAGGCATGGAATTGCTTCGAGTCGCTCAACGGTCTAGGAACATGCTTACTGCGCTGACGGTCTTGATGTCCTGGACCCTGTTCTTGAGGAATAACACTGTCTCTTGATTTGCGGAGGTCTGCTGGGAGAGTTGCCATTGCCACATCGATTTTCAAATTTCACAAGTTATCACAACGGCCTGAGTACTTCCGCATTCATGTCGTCTGCTCGTCAGATATCTTCACAGTGGCATACACCTCGAATCGATTCGTATAAGCCAATCGGTCAAATCAGAACCGGGGGTGGTTCCAGGTGTATCCGTCAGTTGTGTAGATATGTCGATAAATTCACTTCATCTAACCTGTGTTATCTGATATTACACTGTGGTCCCACTTGACGCGTCTGCGCATAGCAGCCATGCTATATTATAAACGACTGACCTACAAACGTTTATAGGGGGTCCCGTCACACTTAGTATCGAGGAGAGTCGTGTCTGGTCACACACCAGTGGTCACATTCCCTTCCGCCAACACGACATCTGTATTGCTTTAAATCCCCCCATATTCGGCACATGAACAACATTAAACATAACAAGCTGGTCGTCTGACCATCCTTGGCTGCCTTCTTCACCTATAGCTGGTGCCAAGTGGTCGATTGTTTTATTAATAATCGATCACGTAGTAAACAATACCAGACTTCAGTGTGTGTGTGTGTGTGTGTGTGTGTGTGTGTGTGTGTGTGTGTGCTAAGAGGCAGAGGTAGCTGTCATCGTGTAATTATTTATCGTATTGTAATTTTTTGCTAGCACATTTTTTTTTCAAAACATTGCTTCTTCTTTTTAAATTTAAAGTGTATTGGTATTTAATCTTAGATAGAATAAAGACGATTCTATCCGATGTGTAAATGAACATTGTCATTAAATCTAGAACCCTTTCTCCTACCCTGTGGTAATCGGCACATTTAATGACATTATCCTGACAAAAGTAGGCATGGAATTGCTTCGAGTCCTTCAACGGTCTAGTAACATGCTTACTGCGCTGACAGTGTTGATGTCCTGTCCCCTTTCCTTGAGGAATAACACTGCCTCTTGTTTTACGGAGGTCTGCTTGGAGAGTTGCAAATGCCACATCGGTAATGACAACACTGTCAGAGTATATCGTCTGCTCGGCGAATAGGTTTGCAATGTTTGTCTTGAGCCCACCTGGGAAGTCTGCACTGGTTAGCGTGGTAAAATCCACAAGCGTTGATCCAAACAGAGTTGATACTGTCAAATTCGTCCAAAAAACACTTTTTAGGGCCACCTATCTCTCCCGAAAGAATGCTTTTCATCCTTTGCGTTGACTACCCTCAAACCCAAATAAAGAACCCACCTCCTCCTCCTCCCTCCTCTACCTCCCTCCCTCCTCGTCCTCCTCCCTCCCTCCCGCCTTCCCGCCTTCCTCCTTCCCACCTTCCCGCCTTCCCGGCATCGCCATCTTGGATGGGGAGATGGCCCCTCGGAGGTGCCGCCATCTTGGAGGCGCGCACGCCTCCCGGAAACGGACATGCCGCCATCTTGTATGCGCCTGCCACCGGAATCGGATGCGCACGCACCACCGGAACCGGAAGTGACGTCACGCATGACCCACAATGCCCTGCGCCGGTCACGTGACCTGATGACGTCATCAGAGGTCACGTGATCAAACCGACTCATCAGAAGCCAGGAGCGGTTCCAGGACGGCGCCACCAACTACTTAGGCTCCTGCGCTCTTATTTGTACTCATATAGCTGAAATATTACTGCGTGTGGCGTTAAACAACAAATTAGGTACACCAAATGTAGGTGGACGCCCTGCTCGAGATTGAAACTCTTTTCTATTCAAATTGGATTTTTGAAAAATTACTATATACAATGTGTGAACATGTAAAAACAGTCTCTGGAATATGCGCATATCCCTTGTAGTGTGAAGTCTACAGGCTATTGTATATGTGACACAATGAAGAAATGCATTATTATTATTTTATTTTATGTACAAACACAATCGATCCCATGGTCTATTGGACTGGTTCAAACTTACCAATTTTACGCAAAAACGCAACATATTGTTCAAATAGTCTATGCCCCAGGAACACACAGAGCAAGAGATCATGGAATAATGCGCCCTCACTGTCTGCTCAGGAATCACACAATCTTTATCCGGTAACAAGGTGAAACAGCTGCCTGGACCTGTAGAGCGTGTTTATGTTCAGCTTTTTTTTTGCTTGTTTGTTTGTTGTTTAACGCCACAATCAGCAATATTCCAGCCATATGACGGCGATCTGTAAATAATCGAGTCATGGCCAGACGATCCAGTGATTGACATCATGAGCATCAACCATGTCATCGAGTCTGACCACCCGATCCCGTTAATCGGCTTTTACGGTTTCTTTGTAACGATATACTTAATATTTAATCATTTATTTCAATTTCAGTGTTTATTTCTCTTGTATTAGTGAGCTTGTCTTGTAATCAACTAACGTCCCTACATTTACTGACTGGTCGACTTTGGCCATGATAACCATGCGTCATGCAAGCAGCCATGTACCGGGCTAAACATCATGGAGAGTAGATATAGCTCTGTGCCATGATAACCTGGTGTTAGACACCATGGAGAGTAGATATACCTCTGTGCCATGATAACCTGGTGTTAGACACCATTGAGAGTAGATATAGCTCTGTGTCATGATAACCTTGTGTTAGACACCATGGAGAGTAGATATAACTCTGTGCCATGATAACCTGGTGTTAGACACCATGGAGAGTAGATATAGCTCTGTGCCATGATAACCTGGTGTTAGACACTATGGAGAGTAGATATAGCTCTGTGCCATGATAACCTGGTGTTAGACACCATGGAGAGTAGATATAGCTCTGTGCCATGATAACCTGGTGTTAGACACCATGGAGAGTAGATATACCTCTGTGTCATGATAACCTGGTGTTAGACACCATGGAGAATAGAAATACCTCTGTGTCATGATAACCTGGTGTTAGACACCCTGGAGAGTAGATATAGCTCTGTGCCATGATAACCTGGTGTTAGACACCATGGAGAGTAGATATAGCTCTGTGCCATGATAACCTGGTGTTAGACACCATGGAGAGTAGATATAGCTCTGTGCCATGATAACCTGGTGTTAGACACCATGGAGAGTAGATATACCTCTGTGCCAGGTTAACCTGGTGTAAGACACCATGGAGAGTAGATATAGCTCTGTGCCAGGATAACCTGGTGTAAAGAACCCAATGGAAGGTAGAGACAACTCTGTGCCATGATAACCTGGTGTTAGACACCATGGAGAGTAGATATAGCTCTGTGTCATGATAACCTGGTGTTAGACGCCATGGATAGTAGATATAGCTCTGTGCCAGGATAACCTGGTGTAAAGAACCCAATGGAGAGTAGAGACAACTCTGTGCCATGATAACCTGGTGTTAGACACCATGGAGAGTAGATATAGCTCTGTGCCATGATAACCTGGTGTTAGACACCATGGAGAGTAGATATACCTCTGTGTCATGATAACCTGGTGTTAGACACCATGGAGAGTAGATATACCTCTGTGCCATGATAACCTGGTGTTAGACACCATGGAGAGTAGATATAGCTCTGTGCCATGATAACCTGGTGTTAGACACCATGGAGAGTAGATATAGCTCTGTGCCATGATAACCTGGTGTTAGACACCATAGAGAGTAGATATAGCTCTGTGCCATGATAACCTGGTGTTAGACACCATGGAGAGTAGATATACCTCTGTGCCATGATAACCTGGTGTTGACACTGTTACGCGGTGGACGAAGACACATCGCTTGCCTCTGATGCATAACCCTCACTACCAATTGAAGTATTGGACAGATCCGATACTCGAGATGCTAAAGGAGGCTTCGGGACATTTACACAATCCACAAACGACACAGGCAGGTAGCCTGTTTCATTACGACAATTCTTGAAGATCGCACGACCTGCGTTTGGTGTTGTTTGTTGTAGCAAGACATCCCCATTTTTAACAGATAAATTTATAATATCTCCACGGGTTTTTTCGACGCAGCTCCTGGCAACGAAGTAGGAAATTCCAAGTTGCTCAATTTCCTTTCTGAACATTTCATTTTCAGAAGCTGATATTGCTTGTTTGAACTGTTTTACAATTCGAGAGGGGAGCAAATAGGAAGATGGCAACATTAGCGAATTAGGTACAAATCCAACATGTCCATGAGCATTTTTACACTTGTACATATTACCATGAGTGGGTTCATCGTGTAACATTTCTAACACGTCTCCTTCTTCAACGTTCAGTTCATCCTCATTGTCAGTCAGCCGTGACTCTCTCGCCTCGTACACGAATTTCCCCTTTACGTGTATGTTGAGGGCATGCAACAATGTAGCCTGTGATTTGGTCACCTGATCTGCATGGTACTCAACAGCGAGCCTATCGTCAGCTTCCAGTGAGTTTGGCCCGCCTGTTGGTGGATGTTTTAGGTCCGAAGTCGGAACCAGCTGAATCATTCTGTGAGAAGACTGAAAAACAAGATATATGGTGTCAGCATTGTACAGTACCAGGTCAAGACATAAACTCCCTGTCTTTTTTTACAAACCATAGGAAGCACAACAAACGACTGTCGCAATTCCCACATTATAGTTACAAGATGTTAACTTTGACCCAGAGGATCAACACGGCGCAAAGCAATGTTGTAGCATGCCCACCTAGCTATTGATGTAAGTACCTATAATATGTGTTCACAACAATGCCTTCCTGAAACATTTGTTATTGTTTTGCAAGGAACAAGGGGTATTAAGTTGGCATAATCATAGTGTTATACATGATACTGTTGGCATTGATATATCAACAGTGGTAAAGCTATTAATATTTTTTCATAATTAATCTGTTCAGGGTAATAGCTACATTTTTGTAATATATTATTTCATAATAAAGTAGAAACTGGAGACTGATACAGATATTGTTAGAATTGAAACCCACTAACCATACTTCTCTATCAATCAATCAATCAATCAGTTTATTCATATATAACGGTAAGGCCACAGGCCCATAGTACAGAATACATGACAATGTGGAAGCGGTTAGGAATGTTACAAGGATTCATTTCTTAATAACATGGCATGATATATAAAGAGAGAGAGATTTTGTATAGCCGTTTTGCTCACATGTGAAATTAAAGAGATAAACTTGTATTTATTTGGATGTACATAGTATTTCTGTTCAATATATTTTTTCCTTAAATTATCATATTTACAACATACAAGTAGAAAATGAAATTCATCTTCGACAACATTTAAAGAACATTGTTTACATAATCTTAAACATTTGGGTATTTTGTTGTGCCTGCCAACTTCAACCATTAACCTGTGTGAGCTGCATCTAAATTGTGTTAATGATATTCTGCATTTTCTTATATTTACATCAGTTAAATATTTTTCTGCGCATATTTGCATTTTAAAATATCTATAATATTCGCATTTGCTAGAAACATCTACAGTAGATCTCCATGTTTTAAAGTACATGTCAAAAAGCGTCTGCCTTATTTTCGATATGAACATGGCATGATTCTCTAAGAAACATTGGTTTTCCCAGATGTAACCATACCCACATTTATACAGTAGACATTTAACATTGTATGCCCAATTTTGATCTCCATTCTTTTCATACAATAGCATCATATTATAACATTTTTTTGGCAATCTACTTACTGGCATTTTTGGTAATTTTAACCAGTATCTTATGATTTTCAAGTAGTGATATATATACAAGGGCATGCGACCACATTCACCATAAACCATACTTCTCTATGATAGTTACCTCCCTAATGGTAATATGTTTACTCCTGTAGCCTGACACGTAAATAATTATTATTCACATTGTCTAAAAGTGCTAATATCTTGCTACATGGAAACTGGGTCAACGTTTCCGGTATAGCATATGCTATAGGCCTGTCCCCACCCTCTCGACAGGCATACTTCGCTACACGGAAATGGGTCAACATTTCCCGCATAGCGATATGCTATATACCTGTCCCCGTCCCTCTCGACAGATCAACCCCCTGCATGGATTTAGGTCAAAGTTGCACTGGAGCGGAATGCTGTATGGGGAAATAGGTCGGAAAGAACTAGACTAGTACCCTGTCCTTCGCCTCCTAGCGGCTGCAGGCGAGGAGCGCAAGCGCTCTAGGGCAAGTAAGAGCGTGCCGAATAACATTAAGATGTTCAGTGTAAAAAGTGATAGTTCACAATTATTAACGTATTTCGTATGTAAGCATATCACTATAAATATATGTGTGAGAAAAAGATTTTTCCAACTATTACTCATCCCCATGTAACCTTCTCAAACAAAAAACAAAGAAAGGTAATGTATTCAATTTAACATGAGTTACGAATATCCCAACATGTTAAAGGTACACGTCCAGCTGTTTGGCACACTTGCACTTCCAACAAAGTTGTTTACATATCTAATCACAATGGTGCTTCTCCAAAGTGGTTGCGTCCATGTTATGAAGGAAGACTGCAGAGTTGTCCTCCCGTGTGCTATAGGGATAGGTTGTAGGTACATGTTTTGTTTGTTTGTTGTTTAACGCCGCACTCAGCAATATTCCAACTATATGACGACGGTTTGTAAATAACCGAGTCTGGACCAGACAATCCAGTGATTGATATCATGAGCATTGATCCACGCAATTGGGATACGATGACCAAGTCAGCGAGCCTGACCACCCGATCCCGTTAGTTGCCTCTTACGACAAGCATAGTCGCCTTTTACAGCAAGCATGGGTTTCTTAAGACCTATTCTACCCCGGATCTTCACAGGTCGTTATCTTATGAGATTGGCTTGATATTGTCCTCATTTGAAGCCGGTTTTTTTTCTAGTATACCGACATATGCGCGTGATTATTATAGGATTATGTTCGTTTGTTTCATTTGCAGCGATACCTATATTTTAACAAAAAATATAACACTGTCGTCACTGCTGGTGTTATCAGAACATTTCTGATATTCATTGATATCACGATAAAACTCACTTCCAATAATACTGCTTTTCTGAGGTGATTGTCATCCATAGATTTACTCTTGTGCCATATCTGAAGTAAAACAGAATACAGATACATTGTGCACCAGCAGCTGGACAAAGCAACAATTGAAACATCCCGCACAAACTTATGGCATATAGTGAGTGAGTTTGGTTTTATGCCGCTTTTAGCAATATTCCAGCAATATCACGACAGGGGACACCAGAAATGGGCTTCACACATTATAGTAGGGAATCGAACACGGTTTTCGGTGTGAAGAGAGAACGCTTTAACTACTAGGCTACCCCAACGCCCCTTATGCCATATAGTCGTGCAATACATGTCAATAAAACAAAATAACCGTACACGTGATACGATACTTCATCAAAACACAATTCAGTATGTGTGTCAGATATGACCAAAATACACACACACACACGCACGCACGCGCGCGCGCGTGCGCGTATATTAAGGAGATACAAACATATGACGGTTTTTGTATCCGTCTTGTATCAGATGTGTAGTATATGATATATATGTATATCGCATAGTAACACAATGTTGAGCTATTGTTCAAGGATGATGGTCGAAGAAACCTTGATGTTTATCAAAGAGTCGTTGTGTAGGGGACATCGTTGGTGTATATCACATGGTTGATGTATTGCACATAGTTATTGTTAGGAAATGGTAGATGCATATCATATTGTTGATGTATTTCACATGGTTGATGTTAGGAAATGGTTGATGCATATCATACGGTTTATGTATTTCACATGGTTGATGTATTTCACATGGTTGGTGTTAGGGAATGGTTGATGCATATCATATGGTTGATGTATTTCACATGGTTGGTGTTAGGAAATGGTTGATGCATATCATACGGTTTATGTATTTCACATGGTTGGTGTTAGGGAATGGTTGATGCTATCATATGGTTGATGTATTTCACATGGTTGATGTTAGGAAATGGTTGATGCATATCATACGGTTTATGTATTTCACATGGTTGATGTATTTCACATGGTTGGTGTTAGGGAATGGTTGATGCTTATCATATGGTTGATGTATTTCACATGGTTGATGTTAGGAAATGGTTGATGCATATCATACGGTTTATGTATTTCACATGGTTGATGTATTTCACATGGTTGATGTTAGGGAATGGTTGATGCATATCATATGGTTTATGTATTTCACATGGTTGGTGTATTTCACATGGTTGGTGTTAGGAAATGGTTGATGCATATGGTTGATGTATTTTACATGGTTGGTGTTAGGAAATGGTTGATGCATACCATACGGTTGATGTATTTTACATGGTTGATGATAGGAAATGGTTGATGAATATCATATGGTTGATGTATATCACATGGTTGATGTATTTCACATGGTTGGTGATCTATATCACATGGTTGGTGTATTTCACATGGTTGATGTTAGGAAATAGTTGATGCATATCATACGGTTGATGTATTTCACGTGGTTGGTAGTAAGGAAATGGTTGATGCATACCATATGGTTGATGTATTACACATGGGTTTTTTCGGAAATGGTTGATATATGTCTCATGGTTAGTGTATATCACGTATGGTATGGTTGACGTATATCTCGTGGTTGATCTATAAAATATGGTTGATGCATTTCACATGGTTGATAGTGTATATCAAATAGTTGATGTGTTTCAAATGATTGATATAAACACTTGGTTGATGTATATCGCATGGTTAGTGTATAGTTGTTGTTTTTTGTTTTTTTGTTGTTGTTGTTTAACGCCGCACTCAGCAATATTCCAGCTACATGACGGCGGTCTGTAAATAATCCAGTCTGGACTAGACCATCTGGTGATTGACATCATGAGCATCGATCCACGCATTTGGGATACGACGACATGCATCAACCAAGTCAGCGAGCCTGACCACCCGATCCCGTTAGTCGCCGGATGTATTTTGCATAGTTCACGGTTGATATACCTAAAATATATGGTTGAAATATAGCGCATGGCTGTGTTCTTTTTGACGACATACCTTTATCTGCATCCTGATATATTCTGGGATTTGTAAGGTTGGCCTGAGTGTGGGCGGGTCGGACATCACTGATCTCTGGGTCATGCACAGGTCCTGCACACTCACATGTGCTTGAAACACAATCATCAAGGATAAACAGAAGAACACGTTTTGATATTCATAGAAAACATGCGGGTGTATTGAAGAAAAAGAAAAACATTGATTATTAACTGGTCCTTCCCATACAACAAGAGAGTTGTAGTATAAGTTCTCGATATTTATGACAATGTAATTCATTTAACATTGTATGTGATAAAGGACTAATAAAAAAGCATACTCACTTCCGTTCGTGCATATTTGGTTTGGCATCTTCGGTGCTAGAAAATAAAATACATGTCTTAAGTTGCTGATGATATGCAGTGCATATAAAGCTCACCTACATGCCTTGTTCATTTTGCTATTGCCACGTATTTTCGAACGCGGACAGGGGTTCTAACAGCAGGGCGTTTTACAAAGATCCACCTATTATTCCAGATTTTTTCAAAATTAAGTTTTGTTGCAAAAGTGTAATAACTTGTCCCATGGCGAAGTTCGCTATTGTTCCATTTCACGACATCGACTTGCACAGTTATGTCAGTTAACTCTCTAGCTTCGGGAAGATGACATGTGCAATCTTGATGCAACTTCATTATGTTATGAAGTTATTTAGTGAATAAGGAAAACTATGGCATGGTATCTCAGTGGGCTCGCACTATAAAATCGGTCTGAACTAGTACAAGCAGCCACACACACACGTTGATTCACTTCACTATAAGTGCAATAATGTCGAACGCGACGTTAAACCCAATTTCACCTCACCCGACCCCACCTTCCCCGCCTAAAGCAGTAGTGGCAGTATTGGTGATTCAACTTCATAATGGGGGTTGGGGGGGTGGGGTGGAGGTTGAGGGTGGGGTGGGGTAGGGAGGGTGGGGTGTGTATATTTAGGATGGGCGTCACGTTATGCTTTCAACTACAACACAGAGAGCATGTATAAAAAGTCATTCTTCCTATCCCGTCAAACGTGCCCCGGCCCTGGATGACTGCACTTCAGATACTGTAAGCGTTTCTGGAGTAAATGATACGGATAAGACTGTTGTTTGCCAGTACGAGAATCAGCCCTATCACTTTCTAAAACCCACGATGACCCACGCTTGTCTCCTGCAAACTGCACAGGTTGAAGTCCATCCAACTATCTGACACTTTGAATGTGGCAATTGTACTTCCTGGTTCGCTGTTCACAGTCCACGTGTATGCCCTTATCATCCTGTACAGGTGTACACGTCAAACTGTTGAATGTGATAATGGCTCGTATTAAAAAATCTGGGTAATTATAAAATATAAACCGTATGTTGCAACAGAATATCACATACCCACATATCTACGTACGGGGCAAATGATTTACGTTGCAATTTGTGTATCCCGCTAATCATACATTTGTTTCTATTCATCGTTTAAACCAACACGGGTGATGTTCTCGTGAAGAGTATTGAGAAGTGTCGATTTCACTTGAATAGAAGCTAAAGACTGTAATAAAGTTGCACAATGCTTTCTGGGGCAGCCCATTAATATAACTCACTTCAAAGACATGTTTGGGATCACAGTGTATTTGATATCTGCATATTATCAAGGAATAACTGCGGACCAAGCCCTAATGTCCATTTTGAAAAGACAATGGTGGTGAGCTTTTAACTTATGAATGACTCGTATTGATCCAACATTTCAGATTTTTCTTCCAAGTGTAATATCTCCATTTGTATTATGAATATTTCAAAAATAGTTCAATAAGGATATAGTCTCCTTTTCTTCACAAACTCGAGAACTACAAACTGAAACATCTCAAAACATTGACACAAGTTCAAGGTCATCCTCTGGAACTAAACGTTTCTAATAAAATAATTTAAATAAGTTTCTGATAATTCAAACAATTACCGAAAATGTACTCAAATTACTTTTTCAGTTACATCTTAGATTTGACAAAATGACATAAACCAGTTTGTGATCAAGCTTAAAAAATGACAAATGGTATTCGGTTTTCCGCTTACGTTTTGGCTTTTTTCAACCCTTGTTACTTGGATGAAACATTTGTAACCCTATATTATAATATGACCTGGTGTACATATATTTAACCATGTACATTCGAATGGAAATAGTTACGTACTATGTATGGGCGGATGCTCTACCACTAGACCACGGAGGCGGTCCTTTTTTTTAATTAAAAGTAGCATTTATACACACCACAGTCTGTACATGCTACATGTTTATTCATTCTGATTCCATCATTCAACAGTAAAATTCCGATGTTTGGATGATGACAAGGGAACCGCTGACGAGCTGCTGTTTCAACAAGTGCCTATATACATGTATACTAGTTATAGTGTTTGCTATGTGACCCTAGAGATAGGTTCAATATATAATGCCTATCATGCCATGGCTTACATGAAGTCATTATCAGAATATTGGAAATCATTTTCTGACTACAACGAAAATGAAAAAAAATGATGACACGGTTTAACGTGTGCACAGGGTGTCTTCACTGATTTTCAGTCATCCATTCATATAATTTTCACCACTATTTGCCTTTTACGCTCAATGGAATGTGTTTCGGTGGATAATTGAGACTGGTTGTTCTCTGGCGTTGACGTTTTATATTTACACGTTTGTCCAACTATTTGCGCTTATGAAATCATGCATCATGTGATAATATCAATATAAAGTGATTACAGCAGCAGATGTGAGGAATATCTGTCTGAACATCTATGTACAGATGCTTGGTATGTTGTGACTAATGCAGGAACTGATACACACATTTGGAACTTAGTTTAACGACATCCTTTTCTAAGAATTAGAGTCGCAGTAAGGGAATATAAAGCCATCTGTTGTAGTAGCTCTGCAAAATTGTGACAATTATAAAACACTTCCAGAAAACGCAACAAGTAGACATGATTACATTGGTGCATGTATTTAGTGTACACATAACGACACATAAAAACGTGTGGTAGATGAAGCGTAGTGTTTCTGACTTACCCGGTTTCTTCAAATAGTCCATAAATTTGTCCTTCCATCCGTCAGACTTTGTGTCAATGATCTGAAATGTCAACAGCTCTGACGGCACTCTACACTCGTCCACGTGGAGTGCCACTATGTTGTTTGTGTCGTGGTCAATGTCATACTGCACGGCCAGCTGAAGTTGATACATGGCATAATTCGACTTGAGAAAATTCTCAGATAGAATAAAGACGATTCTATCCGATGTGAAAATGAACATAGTCATTAAATCTAGAACCCTTTCTCCTACCACCAAGTCCCTGTGGTACTCGGCACATTTAAAGCCATGACTCCCTTCCAATTCATCAATGAGCTTTCTCGTCCAAATGGAATCGAGATTATCCTGACAGAAGTAGGCATGGAATTGCTTCGAGTCGCTCAACGGTCTAGGAACAAGCTTACTTCCCTGACGGTCTTGATGTCCTGGACCCTGTTCTTGAGGAATAATACTGCCTCTTGATTTGCGGAGGTCTGCTGGGAGAGTTGCCATTGCCACATCGGTTTTCAAATTTCACAAGTTTACACAACGGCCTGAGTACTTCCGCATTTATGTCGTCTGCTCGTCAAATGTCTTCACAGTGGCATACACCTCGAATCGATTCGTATAAGCCAATCGGCCAAAACAGAACCGGGGGTGGTTCCAGGTGTATCCGTCAGTTGTGTAGATATGTCGATACATTCTCTTCCGTTATCTAACCTGTGTTATCTGATATTACACTGTGGTCCCACTTGACGCGTCTGCGCATAGCAGCCATGCTTTATTATAAACGACTGACCTACAAACGTTAAAAGAGGGTCCCGTCACACTTAGTATCGGGGAGAGTCGTGTCTGGTCACACACCAGTGGTCACATTCCCTTCCGCCAACACGACATCTGTATTGCTTTAAATCCCCCCATATTCGGCACATGAACAACATTAAACATAACAAGCTGGTCGTCTGACCATCCTTTGCTGCCTTCTTCACCTATAGCTGGTGCCAAGTGGTCGATCGGTTTATAAATAAGTATCGATCAATACCAGCCTTCTTCAATTGTCCATAGTCCTGTACAGCGGGAACAACATACTATATTTATTATTTATTTCATTATTGGCCTTTAAACAACGGCTTCAAAGATATCTGTGGGGGGGGGAGGGGGGGGGGGGGGGGGGGGGGAGGGGGGCGTGCGTACGTCCGTGTGCGTATGTGTGTGTGTACTTAGAGGCAGAGGTAGCTGTAAATATTTCTCGTATTGTAATTTTTTGTTAGCATATTCTTTTCAAAACAGATTGCTTCTTCTTTTTAAATTTCAAGTGTATTGGTCTTTAATCGGACCTATGGCATGTAAGACTGACCTTTATAACAAAGTTCAAAGATGTATAGTATATTTAAAATCTTAACTTAAACAAACTAAACTTATTTTTTTAGACTGGTGCTTTTTTGTGACTGGTCAGTTTCGTTTCCTATAAGAATATACATGTGTAGGCATGGTGTACTGAGTCCGCTCGAACTACCCTGTTGTGGGAGTGGTGTCGGCAAAATATGATACAGTCCTAAGACCAATCTCACCTCCATCCGCACCCCACCCAACCCACACCAATGAAAGACCAGTTCCTTTCTGTTGGTCGTGATGCTTTTAGTCGAAGATAAGGGAAAGTAATAATCAAGACCGATAAAAACGTGTTGTTGCAAGTAAACAAATATATCTGAATTTTACATGTAAACGTATAAGGATTGAATAAACTGACACATAAAATAACTGATCTTAAATATTCATACAGGATCGACCTCATGACAACAAAATAGGACTTTGCGTTGCCAGTACAAGTGTTGGGTCGAGTTACCTCCCTTCGTAATTTTTCATGCTTTAAAATCGATTTAAAATTTCAACATTGACTTTGTTTCTTTTTAAATTGATTGTTTTAAATGTAAAAATATTTTGTATTTGATATTTAAACACACATACACAATATTTTCGTATTGATGACATGCGCATTCTAGCCGGCAAGACCACGAGGTTTTCAAGATGGCGGCCGGGCACAGTGAGATGGAGGGAAAACGGAGATCAGAATCTCAAAACGATAACGATTATGACCATGTCTACGAAGATGAGCCTGATTTCAGCGATCCAGAAGATTACGTTGATAATGTTACCGATGAAGGTGTGTCTTTTTGAATTGTGCATGAGGACTGCGAACTCACGCCCAACAACATTTTCCACTCCATATGTGTCACATGTTGGCACAAGTCCACATGGTTTTGGATGAAATAATTTTATTTTACAATACATTGGATGAGGTAGATGTCGAAACTTAACGATTTCGATCACGCTTTGGCATTTTAAAATATCTGCATACTAAACAGCTGTCATGTTGCAAGGGTTCACTTCCTTGACAAGTTTTAAGAAGCATATGTCGATATGTAGGCTATGAGGTGCATTTTGCGACACATGAAGGCCTATACCATAGCTGTCAACCCCCTGGATGTTTAAATGAGTGAGAAGCCCGGGTGCAGGGGCTGCAAGTCCCTCTGGGTCCAGGGCTAACCCCCCTCCCGGCGAAAACTGGTTTTCAATAATTTAAGACCATTTTAATGGCCTTAAAGAGCTTGTATTCTGAAAAATTATATTTTATTTACATTTTGTATGAATGCGTGAGAATTTCCCAACCTTGCGTGTGAGCGTGACATAGGTGATAAATGCGTGAGACTCATGCGAGATGCATGAGAGTTGACAGGTATGCTATACTTTATTGCTAGAACAATTACTTGATGGGCGAGAGTCCGTGGATCAGTTTAGGCGTCTTTGGTACCTGTGTTATAATCGTATTGTCATTAAACCACAGACTTGAAAAAGAAATGCTCCTTACCAAGTTGACAGCTGTTTTGGATGGTGCAGCAATACCTAAAATTGGTTTTGTCTACACTTTAGGCCAATACCAGTTGCATAGTCTAGATAGAGGCAAGGGAGTTAACTGACTATAATAATAGTCCAGTTTTCACTCGTACCAAACTATTTTGGAATTATGGAGCTTTATATTGGCTGGACTAACTAGTTCAATAAAAATCTTGTAACAAAACCGACATCCTGTTCCCACTGCCAAACAGATTTCGGTCAATTGAAGGATTTGTAAAGCATGTGTACTGTCAGCTTAGCGTTAACAGATATTTTCCAAATCTTTTCATGTTTATAATCAAAGAGATTGAAAAAAGGTCACATACTTGCACTCCGCAAAGTAAGATCCGTTATTTTACAATAAAGATCTTGATTATCATCAGATCATCTTCACTGGGCACAGCCATTTCGCTTGAAGCTAATGCAAGTGATATGGGAGGTAATGATTGGTCACTAGGATGGAGATAGAAGGGACATAACTCATATTAGCCACTGGTGAGCCCAGAAATTCCAGTCGTGTTCGGCAAGGGTAGAACAACTTTCACAGTCAGTTATCACCCTTTCCTCAATGAGATTAATCAGGATAACAATGGGTTGGGTGGTATTATAAAAGATACTATTGTCTACAGGATGCTGCAGTTTACCTTTTATACTAACTGGTTCTGGCTGTGGTGCCACCTTCATTGATCTCTTATTTCTTTGATTCTGTATGTTATTTGTTGTAGGGTAGGTGTTTAATCTTAAATAATATAAGCAAACTGTTATGATGTGCATGTACATTGTCTCAATGTCTTATTCACAAAAAGAATTTGTGGTCTTTACAAGTGCCTTGTTTATGAAGAGGTTAGTTTACACACCCACTATGCCTCAGTTAAACCTTTAATCCCCTTTGGGATGGAAAGATTTCCGCCCCTAATTCCTCTTGCAAATTTTGCCAAGGTTAGGTCAACCTCACCCTAACGCTTTCAGGTGTTATTTTAAGGATGCTGCCTTTATATCCAGTTTGCGACATCTCTCAGTGTCGCTTTGTGGCATATCTAATACTTAAAAGCTATAAAGGTTCCCGCTTGATTCTCATATCATACTTTACAAACACGACAAAAATGATTTCTTAATACTTCTAGCCAGGCATTGTAATTTTTATAATCTGTGAGTCGGGGTGGTGTGGTGTGGAGAACCATGGTGAAAGGCTTACTTACCTATGAACGTTATTAAGTACCCTTCATGAATCATTGGGTTGTGCATAGGAATGTGGTTTCATTATGATGAGTTAGGTACTAGCAACAACATATTAGTAAAATCTAAATATTTTTTACATTTGTATACTTATCCTGCATTACTGTTTGTGCTTTATTGACCATGTTGACACTGGAAGATTTCTGCACTTTTGTAATAACAAAAAAAACTTTCCAATCCAGAATTATACCCTGACTTGTTGAAGTCCAGGCCCAAGCCGACGGATGGAATCGACTCTGTGATTGTGGTGGACAATGTTCCAGAAGTTGGACCAGAACGACTAGAAAAACTGCAGAATGTTATCAGGAAGCTCTTCTCCAAATTTGGCAATGTTGTCAATGAATTTTACCCGGAAAAAGATGGCAAGACAAAAGGGTATGATGAGTCTAACAGTTGTAGCATCCTGTGACAAAGTAATAAGCCAGTATTTGTAGAGACTATCAATACTAATACTTTATGAAGGAGGTTGACCACAAACCAAACAAAGGAAGGATATTAAATATTGCCACTTAAATGTTAACACATGATGATTTACAGCTAAAACATTGTGAAATTGATGCGTATCAGTTCTGCGACTTTGGCCACAGAACACGCTGAAGCCTGTTATGGTTAGTGGGGGGCACGGGTGGCCCAGTCGTCTAAGGCACCGCAATTCGCTGTGCAGAGTTGCGTCCCTTGGGCACGCCAGAAACCTATGATTGTGGGTACGAATCCTGGCTCGCCCTGATTATGTTTCTAGGTTTGTCAGCAACATACCCATGCTTGTGGGTTTCACCAAAGTGGTAAACGTCTGTTAAGCTGACACGCTCAATATAACTGGAATACTGTAAAAAGCGGCGTTAAACTCAACTCACTCCCTCACTCACTTTTATGGTCACTACATCATACAACTTAATGGAATACTCAAATATTTTTTTAATTTATATATTTTTCTGTGAATGGAAGAAGGATTTTTTAAACAAATTTATTAGAAGATTTCCAGAATGTTACATAGTCAAGAAGTCAGAAAGTTAACTAACCAGTTATTATTGGCTTATGCTGGCCTTAACTTGCGTAGGGACATAGTTTATTTTAAAACACATAAATGAAATCGTCATGAGTTTATCACATGATCATGCTGATATGTAGTATGTGTTTGTTCAATAGTAACCATGGTAACAGTTTTGAGGTAGATATGTATTAATGTTGACATGATACTTTCAGCTACATCTTCCTGGAGTACACGTCCCCCCTGCATGCGCAAGAAGCTGTGAAAATGACTAATGGTTACAAGTTGGACAGATTGCACACATTTTCTGTCAATCTCTTCTCGGACTTTGACAGGTGTGTAAAGGTAGCTGACAGTGTTGAAAAGTTTGAATCAACATTGCCATGGTTAGGATTTAAGATGAGGCCGGCACACTTTTGTATTTCAGGTTTGAAAATTCACCTTTCCTTGTTAGGTCTCGTAGACCAGTACGGGTAAAACAATACTGTCATCATGTGAACATTTATGCTTTAATAAGGTCGAATATTACAGTTTTTGACAAAACTTGTCTGTTTTCAGACCAAGAATAAATATTGATGAATTTCATACTTACAATTTCTATATGTCAAATTCAATAGCTAGCCTGGGGCACGGGTGGCCCAGTCGTCTAAGGCACAGCGATTCGCTGTGCAGTGTTGCGTCCCTTGGACATGCCAGAAACCGTTGATGGTGGGTTTAAATCCTGTTTCGCCCCAATTATGTTTCAAGGTTTGTCAGCACCATACCTGTGCGCATGGGTTTTACAGAAGTGGTAAACATCTGAGACCTGCATCACTTTGGGCTTTCCTCCCACATTGAGCTGACAGCGTGATATAACTGGAATAAT